GAGTCAGATTAAAAAAGAAGTATGATTTAAATCAATTAAATATAAGATTCTTATTCTCAACTGAGACAGAAATTAAATACTTAATAGACTCTCTATCAGAAACTCAAGCAGCTATAAGAAAATAACTGAATTCAGAAGTATCTGAATATGAAGAGATGAAAATTAATTAGATATAGTCTGTTAAAACAGCTATATACTATCTTTTAATAATTTTATTTTATTATAGTCTCTCTTTATTATACTTATTTCTTTCTGTTCTTTTCTTTTCTATCTATCTATTTAATGTGTCTATCTTTAAGACTATGTTCTCTTTTTCTTTGTCATGATATTTTCAAATGATTTCAAAGTATTAGAAGATGTTGAAATACTGTAATTTATAAACAGTTTTTATATTCTGAGCTGAAATTTTCTGATTTTGCATATCTGAAATTGATAAATATATAATAGTTGACTCTATAGATATAGGAAAAACTCTGAGAACTAAAGATTCTCAGATAAATGTCATAGTCTCTGACTATATACATCTATAATTGAAGAATAATAATAATAATAATAATAATATTATTATTATTATTATCAGAGTTATTATAGACAGATGAGAGATCTATAAGTATATTTATATTAATATATCAGCTGTGATCTCTGAAAGAAAAAAGTAGAATATAATATAGTAAAAGATATAACAGACTGTAAGAATTAATATATATAAGACTTAAGTGAGTACTGAGCTGTTATAGTATTAAAAGAATAATATAAAGATAATAAATACTGCTGAGAGTATTCTATATAATAACTATAATCTCAGAGACAGTAGATAGATTTTTATAGTAGTAATTATTATCTATTTTTAGCTGTAGAACAGAGTTTAAACTAATATATATAATAAAGCTATTTTATAGTATCTTTTATATAGACTAATAAAGCTGAATAAAAGAATTAATTTTAAAAATATTAGCAGTTATAATAATATAATAGAAGAATATAAAAAAGTAAATAAATAAATAGTAAGTAATATAATATAAATATAATTAAATATACTAGAATATATAACAGAGTCTGCACTATTTAAAATATCTGTATTAAACTATAAATTATAAATTTATATTTATATAAAATAGATATTCTTATCTAAATCAGACTTTAATAACTCTTATAGATAATAGAGTTTTCTCTGTATTTAAAATAATACTGAGCTGCTAGTAGTCAGATAACTCAGATATAAATTCTGTTTATATTTAATAAATATAAATATTAGAACAGAGTTATAGTTCTGAATATACTTATAAAAATACTTTATATCAGCTACATTATTATTAAATAGCTTATATAGCTCTTATATAAGTTCTTTAACAGATAATAGTCTTACAGTATCTCTTATATAGTATATAAAAAACATTGATAGAGTTTTTAATAATCTGTATATATATTCATTAATTTAATACTTAGCTCTGCAGATAGAGTAGTAGATATTTATTCAGTTAAAATTAAGTAATTAATAGTGATAAATGTAGAACTGAAAGCTGCAGAGAATAGATCAGTAGTTATAAGTAATTAAAGAATTAACAGCTGATTCAGAGATAGTTAAACTGATTTAATTATTAAGAATGTTAAGAAACAGCTGTTCTGATAAATCTCTGTATATATAGTCTGTATTAACTACTGCAGCAGCTGTCAGATGATAATATTTAGCATCACAGATATGTTTATAATTGAGAGTTCAGCAGTTATTACAGTTCTTGAACATGTGATTAACAGTATAGAACAGATGAGATGAACAGTCTTCACAGTATATATCACAGTGTGATAGCTCAACTCACTGTGAGTTAAGTACAGAAGCAGCTACATCTCTTAATAATAAGTGAGAGATTTGAACTGAATGTGTCTGATATGCATAATACTGAGCTTGATGACATGTAGAGCATGTATGAAATAATGCATTGAATTGAGAATATTCAAACATGCTGAGAGAATAAGAATTCTCACATATCAAGCAGCAGTGCATGAAAGAGTATATTAATGAATATACAGGTTGTAATGAACATAGATAAGAGTATAAAGAATGTAAATACAGTAGAGAACATCTGTAAAGAAAAGAATGAAGATTATCTATCAGAGTTGTACAGGCTGCAGAGCCAGCTGTTAATCTCAATCATAAATTTGATAAGATGTATGTGATGACATGTGAGGTCATGTTACAGCGTTTTTTGCATGGAAAAGTTGGTTTTTCTTTAATATATAGAGAGATAAATAAATAAATAATACGAGTCGCCTATCCGTACGCCTAGATATCTCCGAGATATAAAATAGCATGAATTCTAGACTTGTCGGGAGACCTCAGGGCGGCCGTTAATCAAATAGTCGGCGCGGGTAGTTAGTTATAGGAGCAAACCGTGGATTAAAAAAAAAAAAAAAAAAAAAAAAGCCGGATATAACTACAGAGGCACCAGTTATTATTATTATTATTATTATTATTATTATTCTTCCATTATACTCATATGCAAGCGGAGCTTATGATGAGTCCTTGCGTGATGTTAAATACAGGCCAAGTGTTGGTTATACAGGAGGAAATACAGGTGTTGAGACCATGCCAAGATAACAAGAACATAGGAAATACAAAGGAGTGACAATTAGATACATGCGATAATAACTTCCCAGCCCAGGAACATAGAGCGATTTATTGGAGCGATTTGTACACCTCTGTATTTATTAGGAACCTGAGGTGCTTGAGTTCCGGATTTAATGTATCCCCTGCGGGTTTCGAACCCACACGCCTTGGTTTCCCACGCCAAGGCGCTACCAGGTGGCCGCATTAACCATTCGGCCACCGGGGCACAGAGGCACCAGTCAGCCCTAGCTAGCAACACCAATTCCGCACTATTGAAAAAGCAAGTCAGTCAGGGAATTGAAATTGAACTATGGAGTCAAAGGAATACAATTCTCCGGACAAGGAAATGCGAGCTGGCAAGGGTCAATAATAATAATGATAGTACATAGTTGTGAAGAGTTCAACATCTGATATTACTTGCAACGAAGCGGGCGGTGTTGCCGATTTTCGCTATCCCCCTCTCCTCTCCAATCATGTTTACTATGCAAGTCTCAAGTGAGAGGTGCCATGTGGCAGCCGTGGCCGCAGCAATTTGGCAGGGAAAAGCAAGGAGCCAAGTAGTGAAGAAGAGCAGACCGCTATTATTATCATTTATTGTTGTTTGGAAAACCTATGATTGAACGGAAAGGGGTTCTCGAAGAAGAATATTGCAAAACGGTGATTTCCCGGTAGGGCTATGCAGCACATGTAATGTATGTTGTTGTATGTTACACATGTACGGAGTACATAACATACATAATATTAAATAATAATAAGGCATGACATGCATGATCTGCTCTGCATTTTCGTTTCGGTCACCACTTCTGCGAGTCAGGATCTACTCCGTAGAGCTGACTGACATGTGTCTGTCTCTTGAAAACAACCTGACAGTTTTACGAAGCATAGACAGTCTGTACGGAGTATGGGAGCGGGGACTTCTGTACTTCATCCAACATACCTTGCTACACGTCGTGGCCGCTTCATAGCCTTCAGATGAGAGAAATCAAGATGGGACAACAAAGAAGAAGAAACATTCCATCTCATCAGGTCTTAGCCACACTAATTAGTAAAAAGTCTGTATGTAATCAGGCAAGTGGAAAGACAAGCGCGAACCACAACGCAAGCGGTAGCACTAGCCGGATTAGGGAATCTGAGTGGGGCGACGGATGGGCCATATACGGCCGATGATTGGCTGACCGAGTGGAGCCTCAATTTCCACCAGCAACAGATTACAGATTAATTTAGAACAGGCACGGCTGGATCCTTAATGCCACAGAATTAGCTCATGTATACGGAGTACAGCGTAGGTACTAAGTAGTAGTAGGTACGTACTGCGTAAGCACAGGCAAGATGGGGAGAGACAACTTACAGCGTAGACAGGCAAAAGGGGCATTGTGGAGACCTCGGGGCGTGGCAGTAGCAACTGTAAGCTCAGCCCGCCCTTGGCAACTTAGCGGGGTTTTGACTATGGAGTTACATTTGGCCGCCATATAAAACACGCGCAAGGAATAGGTCACTCAACGGTCAGGTCCCTGGCAGCTCAGCTCGCTGGTAGGGTTGAACCACCGAAAACGTCTCCTTTTTCTCTCCTCCTTGTGGGCTGGCCTGGGCCCTGTCTTGTCTCCCTTGTTACTTACTAGTTACTAGCTACGGAGTACTTAGTCTACTATTATTAATATTTATTATTACTACTTGTTAGCAGTAGCGTTGGTTGTTGGTGTGGTGTGTGTTGTGTGTGGTTCCCGTAGCCCCGAGCCAAGCCCAGCCCCAACTTCCAAAGCCGCTGCAGCCCCGTTTGTCTGTTCTGTTTCCCTCTTCTCACCCTCTTCTTCTTCTCACCTTCTCCTATTCTTATTTTTCCTATCTCAACCTCCATTATCATCAACCCCCTTTCAATCCTCTTCGTCTTGCTCTTGCTCTTGCACGCACGCCCTCCCCTCGCCTGCATCATCCATACATACATACTGTCGTCCTGGGAAACGCTCCCCGAATATTCCCGTATACCGCTCTTGTCTCGACGAATCTACTACCCAGAATGACTGCGGCTGTTCCCCTCGACGCCTAATCCGTCCCTGTGCTGAAAATATCCTCTCTCTGGCCCGGCTGCTGCATACCCACACTCGTTTTATATCTTGATCCTCTGCTTCTTTTATCTTCACCCAGTCGCTCGTTTGTTGTGTTTTGCCTTTTCCCCCTTCTCGTTTTTACCTTGCCGCCGTTGATCGGCGCCGGCCCTGCACCAACCAACCAAAGGACCAATCGACATATTTCAAATGTGCTGCTAGGGGATTTGACGATTGCCTTTAACTCCTGATCTTGGTTTTGCAATCTTGCTTGTTGCATTTTAGTACTCACAAAAAAAAAAAAAAAGAAAAAAGAAAAAGAGAAAAATAGCATACTCTTATCCCTCACCACCATGGCTGCTGCTCAAACAGACCTTAGTAAGCAATCATTACTACCTTCACTCCATATTGATATTGTTCTGCTTTCAAAAGTACTAATTTCGTTGCTCTAGTATACGGTCGCTCTCTCAATACTCTATTCCGTCGATGTGTCGTCAATTGCCCGGCTAAACCTCCGCCTTGCCCTGAGTGCCCAGAGGGAGAAACCTGTTCTTTGATAAGCCAATCCTGTCAGGCCTGCCAGAAAACCGTCTGCATCAGTCTCGGGGAGGTGGGTGGAGTGGCTGCCCCTGATGAGCCCGCCTCTTCGAATATTGGTGCCATCGCTGGTGGAGTTATTGGTGGTCTGGCTGTGTTAGCCGTTCTTGTTCTGGCCTATTTTTACTTCCGGAAGAAGCGTGCGAACCGTGCAGCTAACCAGCAGTGGGAGTCCGAGTCGTATGAGAAACAAGAATCATTGGCAGGCAGCCGTGTCACACGGCAATCCACCGTTGGCTCGATCGCGTCGACTGTTCTCACCAGAGCATCAAATGTCATCCAGATCGCCTATATACCAGGCGTCACCAACCGCTCCCCACCAGACACCCCAGGTCTACTTGTCCCTCCAGTTCCTCCACTCCCCACAGCCAATGGAAGCACATACGGTCAGGACCAGCACTTTTTCATGCCTGGCGATATCCGTGATTCCGTGTGGTCTCAAATGACAGAGGATGATCGTAAGAGTATGAGTCCCAGTCTCGCTCGCAGCAGCGTGGCTACCACCCTCTACCGCCATGATGCCATCGTCAGCCCCGTCCCTGCTCAGCAAGCCCTCCGCGCCAAAGCTGCAGTCGTCAGTGTCAAATCTGGATGTATCACTCCCAGCGAAAGCCCTCCTTCCTCGACTCCTGTCGTCCCCCCTATTACTGCTTCCCAAATCGACAAGGCCAACGCCGTGGGCGCCAAAATGGAAAAGAAGAATGATAAGGCCGCCAACGAGAGGAAGTTTGCCGGTTCCATCGTCGCCCGCTCCATGGTTGCACGCCCTGTCAACCTGACCAAATCCCCTCTATCACCTCGGTCACCTAGATCGCCTCGGTCCAAAACCAGCACCATTTCCGAAACCGATGAGTCGTCCAATCCTATGATCACCGTCTCGCAAGCATCGTCCGTGAGAAATGAACCCGCTAGGATTGCTGAGTTACCCGGAGATCTGTCCACAGCAATTCCTAACCCCTCTAGGGTCGCGGAATTACCAGGTGACCATCCTAATAAGCGTCAGTCCAACCAGTCTGTCGCTGTCACTGTCATTGAGGATTCACCGTCTATCAAACAGAGCCCCTTTGATGATTCTCACGCTTCGCCGGACCAGCCTAAGTCGCCCACCACTAAACCGGATCAGAGCGAAAAGTCTACCCCTGACAAAAACAATTCCAGTCAGAGTTCCAATCAGTTGCAAGAACCACACAGTAAACCGGATTCTGAAAACTCACTCCAGAGAAGTATGAGTCCCTTCGACGACAAGAATGAGGTTAAGCCCTGAAAAGTTGAAGGAGGGGAAAAAAAAAACAAAAAAACTCAATAATGTTTTTGTTCTTTTCTGTGAAGACGATACGAAACAAATATTTTACATAAATACTTCTTTTGTATGGACACACACTGCTCCTCGCACCACCCTGCGTTCTGGACTTGCTTCATATCGAAATCATTTCGATGAAGATTCCGGGACGACTTACGATTGATGGGGCGTAATGATCGCAGAAGCTTGGACTGGGAATATATATGGCGCATTACGGGAAAGACTCGATGGTTTGGGTTTTTGGACTACTTTTATTTTTATTTTTGTACAAATGGCATTCTGTCTTTTATACCGGGGTTTTTTTTTTTTTCCTTTTATCTGACGTTTCAACCTCCTTTGCGCTTGTTCGACATTCCATGCACCTTTTTTCCTTTAATTTTGGTCAGTTCTATACCTTTTACACTTTTTGGCTTAACGAACGCTTTGTCCATGCACAAGCACTTTTCATTAGCCTTATGCCATGTAAAACTTTGCCGAGGACGACTCCTGTTCTCTGTCCTAATATTGGACTTCAATCTGTTTTTGGTATATATTTCTGGCAATTGAATCCGAGAAGATTCCTCCCGTGTCACTGTTCAATTTATTGAACGGTTGATATTATTTCTAACTTCTCGATGTATTTTGGGTCCTGCCAGAGCTAGGAGAGAAATATGATTCGTTTTTTGGACTATTTCTTGAACATTCTTTAACTAATCCCAACTATCCAACGCATGAACGTAAGGTTGCATTGTGCGAAATATCTGGTTGTCGTCAAATCAACCACTCCGCTCGCCTCAGAGCCAGGAGGAATCACTCTACAAACAAATAAATCAATTCGAGATACCTGCCCACCGCTCGGTGTGTCCCCCAAAAGCCGAAGAGCCCGATTTTCCCTGTTCCGCAAAAACGCGGCAAGACCACCGCCGCCCGACGACCACTACCAAGATTGCTGCCTAAGTCCCCCAATCCTACAACCTTGGCCAAGCCCCCAACCACATGATCTCGTGTCTCCTCCGCGTCATCCGCTAGACCACATGCGGTAAAATGGCAGGCGAATTTGCGGATTCTCGCGTCGGCTTCCCTGCGCGTGGCTGCCCGATTTGCAGGTTTTTTTGCTAGGTTTGTTGGTTGCTTTGGTGATGGTGCTATGATAGCCTTTGAAGGATGATTTTACTTTGTTTTTATGACTCATTGCGCGCTACGGTGGTTGGGATTGGAATTTGTGAGTTCAGGTTTCAATCCTGAGCGGGTTGGGAGAGGGAAAAGCGGATTGGAATTGTCCCGTCTTGGTACTTTGGAGATGTCATTTGGCCGGGGAAGGAAATCTGGCGAAATGGTGGGGGGATGAATACGAAGTGTTGACCCCAGTTGATGAGGTGGGATGACGGGGTATAAAGAGGACCCTGATTCCTCCCTTCTGTCCATAGGATCCCTATTCTCGTTCACCTCAGCATCTCAAATCAGAGCCTTATAGAATTGCTTCCTCTTTCAACCTTCTTCGAACCCCAAAGCACGGTACCTAACCCCAGCTCCCAATACATCATGTCTGGCGAGTGGACTCCTCCCCCCTTCGGCGCCCCATGCTGGGTGAACATCCCCGTCATCGACGTTGCCCGTGGTATGACGTTCCTTCAACCAATTTCCCAGCCTTCCAAAGGACAAGAGACACTGACACTACCACCCAGCCAAATCATTCTATACCGCTGTCTTTAATTGGACCATCCCCCCCCTCCCCGCCAACCTCAATGAGAAGGACATCGCCATATTCAGTTTTCCCAGTCACCCCAAGTCAGGAGCCCTGTGTGGTAGCTTTGAGCGCGTCGATGCCAAGGTGCATACCAAGGGCGACAGTGCCTTCAAGATGTACTTTATGGTTGAGGATGATAAGAAGACAGCTGAGGTATGTTTTGTTTGCGTTGACTTGTGTTTCAGTAGCACAAACTCCGACAGTTGCTTTGATGGGCCATGCCATGACAATGGCGAATACGTGTGCACTTCTTGTAGGCAAGTGTCCTGACTAGCCTTTCAATCATAGGCAATCATCGCGAATGGTGGGGCTGTGATTGGCGAGCGCACCCCGGAGGGGGATCATGGCTTTATCACCCAGTGCCGCGATACCGAGGGGAATGGGATTGGCATCTATATCAACGAGAAAGAGTGCAGTGGGTAGACAGATACGACCGATTGACGGCCCAGGCGGGTTCAACTAGGCGTACTTGTTGCAGGGGATAGTTTCGGGTTGTGTTGATTGTTTTTCCATTTCTCCTATTCCCTTTTCTATTCACCCGGGCTCTTTTTTTGTTGGCTCTCCAGTGCTCGTAAAGAACGACCATGAGGTGGACGCAGAAGCAAGTAATGAGTTTCATAATTTTGAACGATAGTTAGTATGAAATAAGCTGAATTGGTTTATCTTAATTTAAGGTACTGTTTGAAGCGAATTCATAATAATAAATAAGTATTTACCAACATGAGTAGCAACCGTAAGGAATATTCGAACGTCTGGAGAGATCTTCTCGAGTATCTAGCTGCCACCAACGTAGCGGAAAACGATTTTTCTCGACAAAAAAAAAGTCGTGAATTCCATGGAAACGAACATACAGAAAATGCAACCATAATCTATGCTTTTTGGCAGTCATTCCATGAGAGTCCTTGTCTCTCTGGCCGCATTATTTTCGACGGCTTGCACGCATTGCCCCCGACATGCATCCAAAGAATTTGCAGTCAACCTCACTGATGGATTGAGTGGATTTGCTCGCTGCTTTTCTATGTGTAGTGAAGTCGAAGCTAGCCTGGATAACCCGGCTGGGAATTCCACCAGTGGCAGTGTTGCCTGGTAACCCTGTGCCCTGATTGGCACCTACGGTGCCTTTAATATAAGAGTGCATTTGAAATTCAGAATAAGGATCCAGCTTCGGTCTCACAACCCCGCACATTTCGTGCAGGGACTGTCGCAGAATAGAAATTCGGAATTTCGTGGCAGCTGCCGCCACGTTGATGACTTGATCATCCATCATTACCCCAATCGAATTGCTCCTGTCAAACTAAAGAAGACATTCACTCCGACTCGGACTCCTCCGGTTGCATGATCTTCTCATCCAGCTCCTACGAGTTTAAACGCGGAATATTTTAGCAAAGATGGAACTTCAACAGATATAAAAAATGGGTCGTAGAAATGTAGAAATGTAGAACACACGTTACTCAGGCGCGCTTTCAAGTGCTGCAACTGGCTTTCTTTAATCACCAGATGGCGCTCGTCATCAAGGTCCTCGACGATGTAATCGTGCCGCTCCTGGTCGTATTTGAGGATTATGGCCTTTACGGATGGGTCGCACTCAATTAGGACACCTATGGACACAGGAAGATATTAGTTGAGATTGATACATTTATGGCTGGTGCCATTTAACCTAGCATACATACCTTTTACGGCACGGGGCATGGTTGGATCTGACGGTTGTAGAGTGGAGATTGGATTCGGAGGAGACGCGCTTATTTGGGCTTCTTTTGTTATAGGAGAAAAGCAGAAGAATCCTTAGGAACTGAGTGGTTTCTGGTCATAAATTGTTGAGTTCAAGAAACAGAAACGAGAGGGTTGGATAGAGCTCACAGCTTGGCATTGTCCCAGATCACGTGATATTCTTCGACGACTTTGCATTTTCTTGTACGAAGTAAAGAGAACAACAATAATAAAGACAAACTCAGCGAGCCCACGCACAAAGCGCGAATTGAGTAACTAACCCACTACCAGTGAAGACAAGACCATCCCATTGGGGGTTGAATAGCCAAAAAAATCAAGGTCAGCTGAATTGGTTCTTGTACAGGTTCACGTTTCACCAACGCGCAGAGAGAAACAAAGATGCAGTATTCCGCGAAACCGAGATTGCTCCATATATCATCTCAACCACGCTCAATAATAATAACCACACGTTGCTAACACTCTACATATGCAAAAGAGCTAGTTCATCAATTTGAACGGGGGGAATATCGCTCCCTACCTGTTGAATGATCATATCATCCAACATCACCCAAACCAGGAGAAGAGGCAGCCTCTGCGGACCAGAGTGTTTCAAGGCGCGCGCCCCTCCTCCCTCCTACAGTTTGGAATTATCAATCCTCAAAACCATTCTTTCCCTTTGTTTCAAGTGGGATAACGCGCGCGCCCTGTTCCCTGCCGTGCGTTCGCGGTGGAGTCTTACAGATGAGATGATGTCTGACACAGCGAGGTCGATCTTCGACCGCGCCACACAAAACGGGATATTGAGGGTTATTGATATCACCATGGATAGTCAGTCACTTGGAGTGAATGGATATGCCGGCATAGATTTGCCACTGATGGTTTGAAGGGGACGGTGATAAAAACTTGTGTGTGGGTGATACAGCTAACAAGATAACAACCCTGTATGAGGCGAAGATCCCATCGGTGCTGAGCCGGATCCTTGCGGTGGTGTGGCTTTTTTGAGGAAGAGAGTGTGAAGGGATGTAGAAGCGTGGATATTTTCACCATCCGTCATGATGACGGTAGTCGTGGCACTACCGGGCTACTAGAGGGGATGTATCATTTATGTAGGGGGTAAAATCCGTCCATTTGATTAGAAAATTGCGTAATCTGTTCCAGTTATATTATATACTATACCATTGGCAGTAAGTGACCGTCTGCAATATCGTTTCTCTGAATCTAGTATTGGTGACGGAGGACAAGGCGTCCGTTTATATAACTTGTAGTTCTAGGGAGAAAAATTCAGCACGGGTTAATGAGTTAATTATGCCTCGGTCGCGAAGAACGGCTCCAAGATAAATATAGTTACGATATATATATATATATTCTTATTTACGCATTGTATTGGTAATTGGTCACACCATATTCATGATGTGAAATATTAGACAAAGAAACAACCCTTTCAAACACTCTTAATTACATCTACATCTAAGAAATAACTTCACGACTTTGAGGAAGACTCAGATTAAGCAATGATGCACGCACGATGACCAAGCCACAACCAACCAAGCCAAGCAGAATGGCACAGAACGGCTTGGCACCATTGTTCGTCCATTATCTCCAGAATACCAAGACAGAACAACAAAAGTCAGTTCTCGAGAGTTCAATTCAAAGTAGTTAGCAAAGATTCGATCTTTCGTAGGTAGATCACATATAGCTATACTCACTCTCACTAGGCGTGCCTGGAGACGCGATTGGTTTGAGAGTTTTTTGTCTATGCGACAAAAAGCCACTCCAAATTAACCTAAGTTAAGTTAACTTGCAATATTAATAAGGGAGAAGGAGGCGGATGTTGTGGCTTGGGTTGGTGCAACATTTTCTTAACCCCACCTTTTGTAAACTTAACTTAAGCTAGGCAGCAATAGCAGAGCAAGATACGAACATTCAAGTCACGACAGCGCTTTATTCCGAAGTTGCTTGGAAACGAAAGCAGATGCTATTTGGAAACAGGATAAGTTTTATTGATGAAATATTTGCGGCATGAATGTAAGTGTGTTGGCTCGTTTTTTTTTGTGATATTTTAACGGAAGTTGGGTATCAAGGTAGGGGAAGGAGAAATGGGTGAATGGAGAGAGGGAGAGAGGGAGAGAGAGAGAGAGAGAGAGAGAGAGAGATAGAAGCGACTAGATGGGATCGAGGAAGTGTGGTAGTTGAGTGAGGTAGGTAGGTAGGAAGGCTTGATGCGCGTGAGAGAGAAGGGGGCATGTCGGTGAAAGATAAATCTACGTCCTAAGAAGATGCGTTGAAGTGGGTAACGTCGAGGGAGGCACGGAAGTCAAGCGATGTTGAGAAACATATATATATATATATATATATGCTATCAAGAGAGGGAGAAATAAGGAAGACGGAGATAAAAGAAAAGAAATCAAAAAATGAGAATTAAGACGCTGAAAAAAAAAAATAAAGAAAAAAGAACCCGCTGACAAAATGCATTTATAAACAAACATATCATTCTAAAAACGTCTACAGGTGAGGGGTATTGAGAGCCATCACCATCAACAGACCGGATATCAACCCAGCGGTCGGGAGAGTCATGATCCATCCGCACACAATATATCCTAGCTGTCTCCAGTTGACGGCACCGAGATCATAATTCATCAGAGCGGTACCCATAGTGGCACCCGTGAGACACTGGGTGGTACTGACGGGAAGACCAAGACGAGAGGCCATCAGAACAGTGACGGCAGCACCAAGCTCCATGGAGAAACCACGAGTAGGGGACAACTGGGTGATCTTGTTACCCAGGGCGCGGATGATGTGATAACCGAAGAACCAGAATCCGGCGCCGAGGAGGAAACCGGCGACGATCAGGATCCAGACCGGGGTGTTGGTTTCTTTCGAGACCACGCCGGTGATGTAGGTGTCGTAGGCACCGACCCAGGGGCCGACCGCGTTGGCAACATCGTTAGAACCGTGAGCGATGGACATGATCATGGCACTGGCAACCTGGGCATATGTCCAGAGATGTTCGACTCTGTTATCGTAGCGCTTGGCGCGGGCGTGGGTTGCAGCAAGGAGCTCGGAGGAGTGGGAGACGCAGTCACGGGAGACGCCCTGGAGGAAGAAATATTTGACCCAGGACCAGAGGCGTGTTGGGCTGTAGACAGGGAGGTGTCTTGTTGGTGCGAGCCAGCGCTCTTCCGGTTCGAGGAATTGCTTGCTCTGGAGAGCGGCAGTGTTATGCTCAAGGCCCTTCTCGAGGGTAGACGGGTCGGGAGAGTCTGACCCCTTGTCATTGGAGGCGGGCTTGATGGCATCTGGGTCGGAAGCGTCGTTTTTGTTATTATTGTTGGCGGATGGAGCAGCGGTGTGGGCGCTCTTGTAATAGTCAATGACGACCTCACCATCAGCCGCGCCAGGGAAATAGAGCCAAGGATCATCGCGCCAGAGGGTTGGGCCCAGGGGAATATGGTAGAACTTGATGCGGGCATCTCCAACAACAAGGCGGCGGTGGAAGTAAGGGATGAAGAAACCGTAGGCGATAGCCAGGCAACCGAAGAAGACCCCGAGGACAATGCCGCACATCCTCCCGACACCAAACTCCTCATAGGACTTGCCACCGGGCAGCTCGACGATGATGAAAAGAGCAAGAATGGCGGCAGTGAAGGCGAGATAGTAGGGAATCATACGCATGGCCCACTTCAATGGATCACGGCGTTCGAGGACGGAGTACTTGATGGTGCCGAAGATGATGGCAGAGAAAGCGGCGGCAATGGCGGGAGCAATGGCCCAAGAGGCAGCGATCTGAGAAACACTGCCGCTGTCCCAGGCCCATTTGACGCTGGCCTGGGAAGCGATACCAACGCCGACAAGGGCACCGACAACGGTCTGGGTAGTTGAGACGGGGAAACCGAGTCTGGTGGCGACGAGCAACCAGGTAGCAGAGCCAACTTCAGCGCAGCCCATGGCAAGCATCATGGTGCCGGGATTTGGCTTGAACCGGTTGATATCGATGATACCGCTCTTGATGGTTTTGGTGACACGGGAACCCAAGGCCACGGCACCGACGAACTCCGTGATCATGGAGAGGAAACCGACCTGAGGCATGGTGAGGGTTCTTGCAGCGACGGAGGTCGCGTAGGAATTGGCAACATCGTTGGCACCGTTTCCAAAGGAGGAGCCGCAGAAAGCGATAGAGATGATCGCGAGAATCCAGTCATACTGAGTGAGGACGGGCATGGCTAGAGTTGGTTGGGGGAGGGAGCAGTCCTCTTTTTTATTTTTATTTTTTTTATTTTCTATTTATATCAAAGTTACTCGATCAGTCAAGTAAGTAACCCAGACGGGGGGAGGAGATAGAAAAGAGCACGGCCCAGCTTGGCAGGATTAGCCCTAAGCTAGACGAAAGCGAGGGGAAGAGAGGGGAGTGGAGGGAAGGGGAATTGCGGTGGGTGATGTGATGTGATGTAAAGTTGAGATTGAGGTTGAGATGGAAAAAAGGAAGAGGGAGAAGGAGGAGGAGGAGGAGGAGGAGGAGGAAAGATATAGAGATAGATATATAGATAGATATAGGATTCGTTGGTACCCTTCCCACGGCGCAAGATGTAACTATGGCTCTGTCAGCCCTGGCAAACCCAAGCAGCGAGTGTCACCATAGATGGGAAAGAAAAAAAAAAAGAAAAAAGACATGAAGGGGGAAGAAGAATTGTCGGCAGCTGACAGCCAACCACTCGGCAACATGCTAGACAAACAACCAACCCTCTTCTAACAAACCCCCTCCCCCCCCCTTGAAAAAAAAAAAAAAAAAAAAAAAAAAAGAGCCAGAAAAGCAAAAAGCCCCGGTTCCTCTCCTCTTCCTTCCCCCAAACTTAGCACTCCATAGTTCTGGATTTCGCTGGATTTCGCTGGATTTCGTTCTTCCTGGACTCCTGGAGCCCGAGCCCGAGCAAATGCCCCCCCCTCGTCAGAGGTGTCCCAAAGAGGCAATTAGCCCTAACTCGAGCCAAGGGAATGGCGCAACCAGGCTTGAACCAAAGCCAGCAAGCTTCTTATCGCTTATCCAAGCATCCAATGCCAGACTATTATGACTATTATTATTATTATTATTATTAACTAAGTTAACTTAACTAGTTAGTTACTAGACTAGACCAGACTAGCACCGAACGAGCCACTGGGGCCGAGTAAGGTAACTAATAACTAACTAACTAGTGGGGGGAAACCACGGGCTGGCCCTGCGTGGTTCCCGCCAATCACCGCGGCGCCCTTCAGCACGTTCTCTAACCTCGCGCCGAGTTTATCTCAACCTCCTCTCCTTCCTTCCCTCGTCCATCCCTCCTGCTCCCTTCCTCCCTCTTTGCCCCCTTCGACATCTTATCTAATCGGTTGATCCCACATTCCAAAGAAAGCAAAGTCTTGTCGGTTGTCGGTGGTTTGTGGTGGCGGAGTGGAGGCAGAAGAGGGGGAGGAATGATGGAATCTTTTTTTTTTTTTTTTTTTTTTTTTCCTTTTTTTATTCATATTCACCTGGGACTGGAGATGCAACTTTTACTGAACAACCGCCCTGCTGCATCGCCAAATTGTCCATTCTGATTCTTGCTGCCGAACCGGAAATCAACCTCCCCCCCCCCCCCCCCCCAATTGGAGCAGATGTGAAACACCTCCACGTGGGCGGACGTGTGTACGAAGACGATAAGCAACTGATTTTGTGTGTGTGTGTTGTATGTGTGTTGTATGTGTGTATCACATTCATTCAGGAATATGTGATCACGGCTTACTGTGTATTGAGTTCATGCTTCTGCTGTTGACTGCAAGAATATACACATTATTCACTCACTCAGTATTTCTATTCACTCACTCAGTATTTCTTTTTAACATCCAAGGTTTCTATTTAACGTGCATATCTATAGAAACATTTCTTGATTTCTTGATTTCTTGATTTCTTCATTTCTTCATTTCTTCATTTCTTCATTTCTTCATTTCCCGTCTTCTTCTTCTTCTTCTTCTTCTTCTTCTTCTTCTTCTTCTTCTTCTTCAGGAGTTTGGTTTGGAGTTTGATTTGAAGAAGAAATTCATATGACCACGATTCTTGTCCAAGCGCCTTCGCTCGCGTATTACCCACTTGAACATTATTGGACAAGCCAGATAGCTTGGAGAGGAGAGATAGATATAGCTCAGCTACTCGAGACTGTGGGAGCTGGCAACCGGGAGACACACACACACACCCACACATACATCCTTGGCTGACTGACTCTATGGATCCAATGACTGCCGTTATCCCCTGCACGGTTTCAGTCCGTTCGCTCTCTTTTCCTGCACAATGCTTGACCGGACTACTAAGAATTGCTTATTCCCGTCTCACCTTTTGGAAGACAAACTTCAGTAGAAAAGCGCCCTCCTCCCACGTTTTCCCCGTGCTGCCCGCGCTGTTTTCCTTTTGATGTTGGCCCATGGGTTCTCTTCCCTCTGGATCTCCACCCACCCGGCTCGGATACGCCCCGCCTGGCTGTATATCTGTATGTCTGCATGTCTGCATGTCTGTATCCCCTCCCGGCTGCAGCACGAGGCCCATGCGCGATGACTCTTCCCCCCCCCCCCCCCCGTGGATCCCGAAAGAATGAAGAATGGAGGGAAAAAAGCTGCCGCACGCAGATGCAGACAACAGTTACCAATATGTGGGAATTGTCATCTTGCATCCCCACCACATAAGCTCGGGCCTGGTGGTGTCCCTTCCTGGCCCAATCATAATATATATCTCTTTGTTGACTCCTGGCTCCCCTTGGCCCCTGACTCCTTGAACTTCCTCCCCCCCCCCCCCCCCTCTCCAAAAAAAGTCCCAACCCGTGTCAGAGTTTTACTACCATCCTCGACCTGTTTGAGCAGTCTGCCCCCGACATACGCATTGTCCGAGATGACCAGGGCTTTTTTCTTTTTTTTATTTCAATTTTCAACAGCCATTTCGCTTCAATAGATTCGACTGACAATTGACTCGAGCGCTGTACCGTGCAGGCTTTTCTGTTAAGCCATTGTTTCGCTTCCAGGCCTAACCTATATATATATATAATCTTGGAGGCAAAAACAGGATGAGGACAGCGACGTTTTATACCTGGTATTCGACATCCCATAATCCTTTGCGCTCACGGCAGCTTACCTTAACCCTGCGTCCAGAGGCCGAGCCCCTACTACAATCCGTCCAGGTCCATGTAACTAATCGTCCGAACTCGCGCGCAACCCCCTTCCAAAGACGCTCACCCCCCCCCGCCCATTGTCTTGACGGAAATAATTCAATTTTCTCCGTGTGCGATACAATACTAGACGGGGGAAGAAATCGACAATTGCCGTTGCCACCATGACCGAACAGCATTATTACCTTTGAATAATAGGGGGTTTAGCAAACATAAGAGGAGCTGGGGCTGCTGACTTGATCTACTTGCTGCAACCTTTTTGAGGTGACCCTTTGGCGCTTGCGGGAAAGAGAATAGAAGCACCACACCACACCACACCACACCACTTAAAGCGTAGATTCAAAGCTGTTGGTAGATATTCTTCAACACATTTGTAATTCCGAGTTTTCACTCATTAGCAGACCATTGCCTGGACAATCACCCGACAGCTGCTGCTGAAGTGAAAGCGGTTTCGCGGCATTCAGAAAGGTTATGTGACGATGTACAGAGGGTGCTTGGTGTATATGGAGATTCCCACTCGCTTGGAGCAGGTGTATGAATTGCCATTGGGAACACAAAAGGGAATACCCAAAGGGGAATCATAAGCGTTGGGAAATCTGGAATGCGTTGTTGCAAAATATATCCTGATTGAAGGTTGCTGGATGATGTCGATGGGTTGAGATACTTCGACAAAATCTGGGATTGAGCAATTTTCAAAAATGGTGGCCCTCCTGCCAGAATAGCTAGCTGCTTTGTCCATCTTCACATTGTATGGCCATGCATGCTCTCTGAATGACAGCAGGATCTACTACTCATGGGCCGTTTCTTCTTGCCTTTCAACATTGTCCATGTTTTGAGAGATAAGATAATTTCATTTCCTGTTCTTGTGTTTACTTTTAACATGGCGTAGCCAGCGATACAGCAACACACATTGACTCCCAATGTGTAATGTATTCCGGCTCGCCGACTCGACTGTCAATCGAAACCATGAACAAGCCTCAAGCCTGAGGGAACGAGTAACTAGTCATTTAGTTATTTAACTGTCGCTGATTGGTTTGGTAGTGCTAGTAGCGTAGCGTCAGGGTTAACAAACCCGAGCAAGTTATTTATTTTGGCAGCCTGAAGATTCACCATCCATCACATTCAGACGCGTGGCAGCGAGATTCTTTCCTTATCGAATTCTTCATTTCCCATATCTCGCCGTTCTCTGTAACTACAGAACACGGAACCCAAAGAAGCGAAGCAAATGTCCCATGCTCAGGTCGTGCGAAAGATCCCAAAGAAGTCGCGCAACGGCTGCCAACAATGCAAAGCAAGAAAAGTGAAGGTAGGCCTTCTAAGGTTTCGTAGAGCTCTCTAAATATCCTATGCCGCACCTGCAGGGCGTAACATCCGGATGGTCCTTTTCTTTTCCTTTCTTCCTAAGGATCCTTTCTCTCTGTCTCTTTTCGCAAAGCAAGCTCTGTACCAGCGATGTTGACTTGCCCTCGTTGAAGTGTGACGAACAAGCACCGTGTTGCCGCAACTGCAAGTATCGCAAAGTGAACTGCAGCTATCAGTTGCAATGGGGTCAACCATCTAGCTTCATACCATCTCGATATAGTAACCCTCAGCCTGCCCAACCGTCGAATGAAGTGCAAAAGAACAACTTGCTCCCGTCTTCCCGCCCCCCCCTTATTCCTCCTACCCGCTTAGCACACAATGGAACCACGCCATTACAGGAGCTCGAGTTAATGCATCATTATGCTACTACTGCATTTGCTGTTTTCGCCGACTACGAAGTGTACAGGTCCATTTGGCAGGTAGCTGTTCCTCGCGAGGCGCAATCGTACCAGTTCCTCATGCATGTCATCCTCGCCATATCCGCGCTACATATCAGTCATCTTCGCGAGACTTCTGATCATGGGAGTGGGTCTTCATACAAGGAATTGGCGCGCACACAGTACCATGATGCGGTGGTTGCATTTCGCTCGACGGTGCCGCGAATGACCAAGTCTAATAGCAGCGCCGTATTTGCTTTCTCTAATTTGACAATCTACTTCGCCTTCGGCTCGTCAAAATTCTCGGCCGACAATGGAAGGATGGAAGATCCGATTGGCGAGTTGCTGGACGTGTTTACCCTTCTAAGAACAGCCATGGAGACTATACGATCGTCGTGGGACTCACTTTCAGATGGCCCTCTCGCTCTGCTCCTTCAACGTGGGCCAGCGATTACAGACCGTCAGTACCTCCCTCCAGACATTGCCATGGGACTAGAACTCATGGAGCAATTCTGTCAGAGTGTGACTACCATTCGAGGTAGCGACGGAACGATCAATGAGACTTATCAAGTCGCCATCAAGCAGCTCTGGGACTCATTCGTCATGGCGGAAACGAAACGCAAAGACTGGTCGATGGCTCTACGATTCCCCATCATATTTTCCAAACAGATTCAGCAGTCCTTGAGGCGGCGAGATCCAACAGCCCTGGTACTTTTGGCGCACTTTTGTGTTTTGCTCCATCGAGCGCCAACACGGTGGTGGGCAGACGGTTGGAGCGAGCAAGTTATTGATGCCGTTTTTAGAAGTCTAGACCTGCGCTGGAGGCATGCAATAGCTTGGCCGATGAGAGCAATTGGTGTGGAAATGCGAAGCATAGATTTAGACGCTGCGGATTGGGATTTACTTAGTATATGAAATATTGCAATGAATTTTTATTCTGGTGCGTAGAGCGCCTCATGCCCTATTCCCTACTTTGCTCATCACGAGACAGTTTGCGGACGGAACTATTCAGAACAAGCGAACTCTAGTATTCAATGACACGCGTGAAGCGATAAAAGGGTCAAGTATAAAGTATTGTTTATCTATCTATATCTGAACAAAATGCTAATAGAGAAATATGCCCAAAGGAACAAAATCCATGATAAGCGCGAATGAACGGTAACATACCAAGTACGAGAAAACCCGCGTCAATAGAAGCCTCCAAAACCCCCCAGCTTTAACATACAAAGTACGAGAAAACCCGCGTCAATAGAAGCCTCCAAAACCCCCCAGCTTCCAGATGACCAAAGGAAAATCGTGATACAGCAGCGCTTCTGTTGTTCCGAGTACACGCATCGCTCAAGCTAGGCCCCTCGTTGCGATAGCATGCCTCGCATATGTTGTCTCCGCGAAACTGGGCCTTTGTTTCCTCATTGAGTTCGGATTATTACCATGAGTTCCGGCAAGCCCAAGCTCCTCAGGGTGCATATCCATGCCAACGGATTTCAGCCGAGAATCTCCCTTCAACAACTCGGAAATCACACCCGGGTGCATGACGTTCAGCACCATCATAAGAATCCACATTAGCGTGGCGTCGAAAATATAGAGGTAAAATTCGCGGCTCAGGAGCGTGCCGTCCGCGCCCTGAATGTATTCAATAATCCGAAATATGGAACGGATCATGATAAGGACGGAGACGGCGTAAAGAGAATAGAGGTATTTACTCCAGGAAACCTGGATAGATAGTGATGCTGTCGTTGGCCTAGCAGCCATCCGGCGGTGAAAGATGACCGAGACAATGATGAAAAGGCCGAAAAAGATAAGCTGGATGCACAGGCCAACGATGATCACCTTTTGGCCTAACGAGAGATTCGACTTTGTACCGCTAGACATGATTCCGCCGCCTAAGCTTGCCGTTAGATGATCCATGTATCCGCACGAGCCGAGAGCCGTTTTGTGAAAGAGAACCTAGCGATGAAGAGCTGGTATCGAGAGATAGTACGTACCACATCCCTGAACAACAAAGGAAAGGATGTCACCAGTGACAAAAATCTTGGTCATCCAAGTTCTTCGTATTACCGAAAACTTTTCGCCGTGGAGGATGGCAATGATGCGTCCTAGTTCCATGTATATCGACGCAGCAAACAGAGCTGGAGCTAGCAGTAAAAATAGGTTTTGGATAATGTACGGCGTATCTGTGAATAAGGGCGCTTCGGTACTCGAGATGATGCGGGCGCTGTATCCTACAATCTCAACTGAATGATATGAGCAAACATGCAAAGCTCATACGCCGAAAATGGCAACATCAATCACTCACAGATTCCCCCAACAACGACAGGGATGAAAAACCACACACTCCTTTTGACGAGTTGGAATGTGTGAAAGCCAGTGGTTGGCAAAAAGAGTATAATGAAGACTATGGCCGCAGCCTTGGAAGGGGTATATTTGTAGAAGTCATGAAATTCTTCATTGGCCATCTTGTCTGAAATTTCGCGAGCCGCAGGAGAAGTGATAACGTATGACAAAACTCTCTATATATGTATGGGAGAAAAGTGAACGAGAGACGGCAACAACAGATCTAGTAGCATCATCCCCTTTTATATAAACAGAAAAGGACATGCCTGCCATTGCGATAGAGCATCAACAATTCGGAACAGAAATAGCAAGACTCGTCATACAACCTGGTTTGAAACTGAGCCAGGTCCAAACTTCGCCTCTTATTGCGTACGTCTTGTGCCATCTCACTGGACTTGGTCGTGGTTATAGTTCCTACGTTCGGATTAATTTCCACCTTTAGAATCTTCAACTCATAGGTCATGCAATACTTTCGGCAGAGTCAACTCGGGCGAGGCCGTGTTCGGACACTAGACCAAATACGGACTAGTAAGCTGGACCAATCCGAAACCTTAAAAGTCCCGAAGTCGATCTGGACCGATATTCCGAAATCAAGGACCGGTAGTTTCTTTCTACAGACTTTGAATATTATTATTGTGTTGTCTGGAAACTGGAGCTTAGCCAGGACAATACCTAAAATTTAAAATTGGAACTTCATGCGCTTATTGGAAAGTAGCCCCAGCCGTTGAATTCCCTGATGAATGGGGTGTCGATATCTCAGAGCGCAATCCACTTCGATCGGCGGCAAGAGACAGCTTATCCTGCGTTCGATTAGTTCCTGGAAGCCAGGGAAAAGTCACACTGACACATATTAACGCTTCGCCTTTATGAAGGCGCCACGGCCGTGATTTGTGAGTAGCTGGTTCTAATCGCGATCGTTTTCGCAGCAAGAAATATATTCATTCCCCTTGGTGCTTGGCTTCCCAACGTCCGCTGCACAATCAGGCGGAGGATTAATACCGGTGCAAAACGGTCCATGCATATTTCAGAAAGGAAATTTCGAGAAAATGAACAAATCCACGAATAAGTTTAATGGACAGGATGAAAGCAGAAGTAAAATTTCTAGAGCAGGCGGACTGTTCCCCTTAAAATGCCTTATTAACTATCACGCAGTTGTTATTTACAGTTTAGCATTTCCCGAAATTTCTGCCTTGGACGCAAACGTCGGGGGGTTAGGGTCCAGGGGACCCTGAAGCCAGTTTACCATCCTACGTACCGCAGTGATAGGATTCAAGCCGTCCGCTGAGCAAAGGAATGAAGTGTTAATAGCGAGCAGAACATAAAAGGTGATAAGGAGAAACACACCGTAACCGATAAAGGGTGCGTGGATCTGATATCCCATCATTTCAACAATGCGTCGTGGGATCTCAGTGAGTCTTCGAGGGTCGACTGCAAGAATTTGGTTTTCGATTGGTCGGACCTATGGGGGATCGGTATGTCAGCGGAGTCATTACAATTACCCAGCGTAAGGAGGTGTTAGTTCCTCACATAGGGCTGGCAGTATTGGACCGTCGCGCTCTTTCGGGGGTTAAGGGAGTTGTTTGGTCCGCCACAATGCCACGTTGTGGCAAGGAAGTAGACGACGCTCCCTGGGGGACAGGTCATCGGCACAGTCTCGTCGTACTTTGGACGCCGGTCGGCCCCCCAAGTATGACTACCGGGGATGATGCGTGTGGCGCCATTCTCGGCAGTGAATTCATCGAATGCTTTCAAAGGACAAAGTCAGCGAAATCTGCTTTGTCGCAGCGGCCCCTTGGAATGCCGTACCTAGAATTATCGCACTTCCCAGTGGCATACGTGGACGTGGGACATGACAGAAAGAGTCATCTACAAGCTTCGAGATTCCGTTAGCCATCGACAAACCTTGACTGTCATTAACTTCGCGGGCGTACCGTGATGCAAGCCTTGGTGGGCTTCACCGGGGTTGATCTGGATGGTATGAAAAGCAGTGATATTGTACCCCGTGTCCAAGAAGTAGTCATTCAAGGTGAGCACACGAGGGAGCATTGCGAACTTGTCGAACGCTCTCGTCCTATGGTCTCAAGAAATAGACATTAACCTCATCCTATAACAAGTAACAATCTTCAGATATTGCCGTGGTAGAGACCCGTACATGTATGTACTGTACATACTTGTTCAATAGCGAATATATCCGATTCGTATTTAGCCCTTCAAACGCGTTCCGACCTTTGATCGGATCGGAGCCACTTAGCCGGTCGATCTGAGCCTTTGCGGCGTCCGCCTCTTCCGTGGTGAAGCAGTTCTCAAGCACGACGTAGCCGTGACGGAGACAGTGCTCCACGTTGGCCCGATCAACAGGGTCTGCAGGCAGGGGCCCTTTCATCATGCCCAGCGCCTGGAGCTGCGCTTCTAGCGAAGGTGTAGCCATGGTGCAAGCCAAGTTTGAAGTTTCGTAGTGAAAATTATCAGAGCGCTCACGGGAAAAATAGCGTAGCAGAATTCAAATTGCCCAATGCTGCGGCGGAATAGTAGAGAATAGCGACCGTATTAAATATGAGAACAGGAAGTAAATAAAAGGAATAATTGACCGACATCCAGAGACCATCCCCGCATTTCATCGACGGGATGATTTCCCCACAGGCTATCGACCTGTTATTTTACCTCGGTATCCAAATCCCCAGGCCCGCTCGCGGTACGGTAGTTTACTGCAGCGGCGGCGAGCCTTAAAAGCTAGTTAACTTAACTAGTTAAGCCACTTCTTGTGGAATAATAATAGAACAAGAGCCAAGGATTGGATGGCCGTATGGCCGTTAACGTAATCAACCACCAGCATGTCAACTGCTACAACTCGGTGTATGAATGTGCCATTGATGTTGAGGATCCAAACGGTTATCACACGGGACGCTACTTTCCAGTGACATTGGGGAATGAGTTTAAGGGCGGTAGATACCGTGTTCTGCATAAACTTGGGTGGAGTGGATTCGCAACTGTTTGGCTGGCGAGAGATAACCTGTATAGCTAACTTCGTCTTCGTAAATGGAATAACAGAGGTGGAGCTAAATGACGAATAGGACGTACTCCAATGTGGCCCTAAAGATTATCAACGTGAACGATAAGCTCCCAGGAGTTCAGAGTTCTACACCACCTCCAACAATCCAGCGTTGCCCAGGCAAATGTTGGCCACCCAGGTCGTGCTTCAGTGCTCCAGCTCCTTGACCACTTTGAGCCCGCAACTCCATACATGGGTTTGATATTCCCGGTCATGGGCATGGACCTTCGTTCTCGGATAGACGCCCAGCACGGACAACGCTTGCCAAAGCAGGTTGCGCTAAACGTCTGTTCCCGAGTAGCCCTCGGTTTGGACTACCTCTGGAAATGCGGCATTGCACATGGAGGTAAGCAAGCCGCTATCCTACAACTTGAAGAGTGCCGTTGCTCAGAACTATGAAGATTTATATTCTAAAAATGTCCTCTACTCTGCCCCTGCTGTATCTCAACTATCAGAAGATGAGATTATGCCTTACTTGGGGAAACCGGTGACTGGCAGGGTTCAAATGACAGACGGTCAAAGCTCTTCGCCTTCGATGCCGCCTTACTTGGTCCGACCAGTTTCAATCCGCGGTGACGATATGGACATTAGAATTGCTGACTTGGGGAACGGTAGATATTCTAACTTGCCAAAGGCTTTTTCACAGTACTAACACGCACATAACATTCTTTCACGCAAACCCACCAAGTCGCTTGTACACTCCTTGGCATATGCGTGCACCCGAGTCGGTCTATGCCCAACCTCTGGATAAGAATGTCGATATGTGGAGCGTTGGCTGTTTAGTCAGTATCCATCCTCCTCAAAAGGCGTGAGAGAACTGCTGACAGAAAGACTTGCAAGATATTCGAAATTATCACAGGAAGGACATTCATGGATTCTTTCTTAGCAGACCGGATGGACATGATCGTTGGCTTGAAACAAGTCCTTGGACAACCGCCATCAAAGTTGCATGACAGCTTGGAAAGCGATGTTCGGAATATGCTTGATAGCACCCCCGCCCGAGATATGGGATTCTACCAATATCTTGAACTCAACTACAACCAGGATGACGCTAAGCTTTTAGCTCTTGACGGCTATGAAGACGAAGAAGAAATTCCTATCGAAGAATCCGAGAAGCTGCCACCAGAGTTTACTGAGACAGACCTGATGTCTTTGACAGAGATTTTACTGGGACTGCTCAGTTACGAACCCCAAGAGAGAGGTACACTTGCCTCTCTACTTAGAGCTCTTTCTCGCCTGGATAAGTGACATGATTTATTGGCGTAGGCTCTTAGTAAGGGAGCGAGTCAAGAGGTTCGCCACTATGGATGTTGGGGATGGAGGCTTTACGAAATGTGGTTTATAAGGTACGGCTTTAAATAGCATGGGCACAGTGCAAAGGGATCAAGTAACTGAGCTACACAGATGAAGACAGGAAGCCAGCAAACTCATCTTCATGTAACTAATCAATGCAAAGACAATCAGACAACTCTCATTGAATGTCCTTCTACTCATGGCCTCAGTTACTCAATTTGATCTCCTGGCTCGCCATCTGTCACCTTTTCTGGTCTCTCGTCGAAAATTTTGAATGACTCGTACTCCTCTCCCTTGTCGGCTTTTGAGTAAATATGGATTGGCCGAACTGTTCCTTTGGCTATCATTTCTGCCGTTTTTATATGCAGGGTGATATGGTACCGAGAGTCAGTGTGGCTAGTATGCACCGTGTTCCTTCATAATGTCAGTTCGCCATGTATCCACTTCCCTTTTAGGATACAGACTTGATAACACCCCAAATGAAGGAACTGTAAGTTGGGAGTGTTGGGTCCTCGGTGAAGCTGCTGATGATAATTTGTGTGTTTCTCCATTTAACTGGGTTGTTCTTTGGTGCTTGGCCCTTTGCTCATCTTATTGCTTGCTTCAATGCATTCATTGCAAGGCTCCTAAACCTGTCAGAATTCCAAACTCTATGAGCAAGAGACAATGCTTCATATACCTGATTGTATCTTTCCTGCACTGGATAAGTCTGCTCGCGGCGTCATGGGAAGATCACAAAGGAGCCTACGTATAAAGAAAACCGAAGCGCCGGATTTTATATATTAACGAGGCAGCAACAGCCATGTTACCCCGCTTGTGTTGGCGGCCGTGAGCAGCCTCGAACGTGCAGCTATGTCTCGGAGCCATCTTATTTGACTGGATCTCGTTAACCAAACATGCATGGCGAGGTGAGGCAGGGGTGAGGACAGAGCGGCGAGCCTCCCACACTAATCCAGAAGCAGACATGCCAGATTCCTGTATAACTACTACCCTCATCTCTCTATTAATAATTACATATGAGATCAACGTGCGTGCAGGCCCGAGCGATCGCTAGGGCAACGCCACTGGGGCGGGCGCCGCTACAGATTGACCATTCCATTCGAAGTCAAAGGGTTCAAAAAAATGGTCAGACAAAGTTTCAAAAGATTTAGTAGTACATATTGACCTACTCTGTATGGTTCAGAAGGACAAATCGTCCAGCATTCTATGGAATGAAAGATGCTTGTTCCGATTAATGCCAGAGGTACCAAAAAGGGGAAACCTGGAAACCTACCAGCGATTGTCATGCAGTTAGTTAGCCAGGGACCCCATATATACGCAGTACTCCGTACTCCGTACTCCGTAGTTACAGTACAGCTTCATAACTATTTATTATTAGCCCCTGATAACTCCACCAAGGGGTTCCCACTTTCGATTGCCAGCTAAAGTTGTTTCTGTGGAGAGAATTTAAGTTACTGATGAGATGATTGGATTAGTTTTAAGAGGTTGAAAGGGGGCCCCAGCTCTGCTGCTGCGGGGGTAACTAGTTAACTAACTAGTTACTCTTCCGCAAACTTTGCAATGCTTGGCTTAACGTAACTTACTAAACCTAAGTTACCCTAACTAGTTAACTAGTTACCAGAGTTCGTTGTTAACTTTAAATTACTGCGTAGTTACAACGAACTTTTAGTTTGCATCACGTCACGGTCGATTTAGTGTAGCTCCTAGCTGACTGGCTACTATCAACAACACCTTCTGGAATGCCACTCTTCGAAGCAACCAACCTGTTGGTTGTCGCGAAGAGGTGGACTGCGAGCTCCGTTTCGGTCTTTGTTTCAAGGCATCTAACCTACCCCGTATTGCCTTGGTCGCCATCGCTTCGCCGGGCCCTGGACTCGCCCTGGTTGTTCTCATTCATATTTTGTATCTAGCTGTGAACCTCGTTTGCCTGCTCCTTTCGGCCCCCTCAGTATCTGATATTGGTGGCCGAGCAGGCGTGTTGTCAGTCGTGAATATGACCTTTCTCTTCACAGGGCCACCACATCTCAGCCTCCTGGCTGAGATTCTTGATGTTTCTCTTCATACATGCTGCAAGATACATGGTTCAATGGCTTGGATGAGTGTTCTCCTTCTTGCAATCCATGTCATCATTACACTTTCTGATCAGTCAAGTTGCTTTCCCTCTGAGGGATTCCACCAACCTCATCACTGCCATTGTAGGTTATCTTCTTTGAGAGATGATCATGTGCTAAATAAACTCTTCTAGAGCTCAGCCTCAGTGGCAGTGATCATGTTCTTTTCTTTCCTGTTCTTTCACTGTGTGGCCTATGAGTGGTTTCTTCAGACTCATCAAGGACTGACTGCACTTCTTCTATATGCAATCTGGCATCATATATCAGTAAATCAGTTGGTGTCAAGAATTTGTATCTATGTGTCACTGAAATCATTTACACTGACTATCTTCATGCAGATCCTGTTCTTCTGCTATCAGAACAGTGCATTCATGTCTCATGAGTCATCTCAGACATATGTTAGCTATGACAGTACAGACAACAATGAGAAAACAAGTGAAGATGTCAAAAAAGCTGCTGTGATTCAGGTTGTTCTGTCTCACTCAATGAAACTGAATACTGAACAGTATGTCAATCTCTGAATACTCACAGTAAGTTTGTTTTTGAAGACACAGACTCATCTCTACATGATCTCTTTATAATCATGAGAAAGATAAATCATGTTGAATCTCTATGTGAAGGCTCAGCATGGTATGTCAGCTACATTGCTTGACTGTGTCAGAGCACTGTTTTCTTCAGTGCCTTCATTACCAACTCTCACAGAATCAGTGAATCTGTTGACTGATATGAGAGTGTTCTGCTGATTGCCAGTGATGCTGGCATCACAGCTGTGATCCTGTATCTCAAAAAGCTGATCTATGAGCACAACACCTCAACTTGTTGCATATAACAGGTACATTTGATGTGGCAACTACAAACCCTCAGTAGGCTAGCTAGCTTGATATGTATGGTTGAACACACTAACAAGGTTAAATATGGCAATTGCTGTAGAATCAGCAGTGAACAGCTTGCTAAAGAATGATACTGTAGCCAATGGCTACATGTGTGAACCTGTCCCATCCGCTGCAAGGGTCATGCTAACACTCACAGCAGATCCTCACAATCTCTATCTATGTTGAGTCCGGAGGGATCATGAAACTTGAGAACCATGAACATGCCCTTGTCTACAAGGGCCTAGCGGACTACCGAAACATCATCCAGACAGAGGTGTCAGGTGACCATATTGAGAGGGTCCCTAATGGCGAGGAAGACTGTGGCGAGCTGCTCATGATGAGTGAGTCCATCACACTCCCGGTGAGAGTTCCGTCTGACCTTCACAGTATCAGTGTCAGACAAAATGCGCGATCAGCTGCGAAGCGTCGTCCACGACTTCTTGCACGACAGGGTTACTATGTCAGAGCTTGAGTTTCAGCCACATTAGTCGTAAAGGACGGAATGATCGGTTTGGAAACAGTAGACCTAGCAAACAAATATAACCGTGGCGTCGAACGGGCCGTGTAAAGCATCTCCTTGATATTGAATCCTTAGTGTTTACAGTTCTACGAGCTGGAGGGCCAGGATACAAGCGTTGATGATTGTGGCTCTGAATTTCCTCTTCCTTTCTTCTTCCAAGGCTAGACGGAACATGGACAGAGTGAGCCTGAAAAGTTTTATTTTCCTACTTGAGTAGATGTGTACATAGATATATATATATCAAGGTCCTCACAATACGGCACGTCACATTCCATATCATCTCAAATAAGAGCAGTATGTAAACGACGAGCGCAAAGCAAAAGACACCAGATCCATGAGGTGACCTTTGCACCAAGGTTATCTCTGTGAACAATGAATGCTATTGAATGTGAGAACAGCAACCGTAGGATAGTTCAGATAGAACTCACCTTCCATAGTGTTTCAACTGAAACACCTGATTCAATGAAGGATAGAAATTCCGTGACGTGTGAGTTGCAACCCCAATGTTCAATATTATTCACACCAGTTTTACCATTCTCCTTCTTGTATTTCTGCATTAGTTCCATTGTAATCACCTCCAGTGGTTTAGAGTACTGTGAGACCAGACCTGCTGGTAGCTCCAAACATTCCTCCAGACCAGCTACAAAATAAGATCAGTGATGATCACCGGCTGCAGGGGATGTTTCATACCAATCTTCACTTCTCCCATCCTGAACACAAGAATGTTGAGAGAGCTCAAGCGAGAGTGCTCGACCCACCAATCAGTGAGATACATAAGAGCCATCAAGGATCTTTCTGTGGTTAAATGACATTCTCATTGATTTCTGTGGGGAGCTTACCTGAGCTAAAGCGGATGTGAGCTCGATTTCATTCAGATAGGCTTTGCAGGCCACAAGATGATTCAATGAGACAGAGACTTCATAATGAAGAAGGAAGACTGATCCTTCATGTACAAAGCATTCCTGAGAGGAGAGGATGTTGAGATGACAGAGTTCTTTGAATCACCACAGTGCTTTCTCACTGTCAGGCCCCTGAAATGTCCTGATGGCGACAAGTCCGCAGGGGCGGACGCGAGGAAGAGCTACATCGAAAGGTCCAGCCAACTCACACGCGTAAACTTTATTGAGAAAGTCTCCCATGGTGACTTGTGCTGAACCACGAATGTATCCTACCAGACTCTTCCCGGATTTAGATGGTTCTCCAAGAACCAAGTCTCTGGCAGGGCCGCACATTCGCTTTCTATATGTTGCCGGTTCGGGGGTAGGCGCTCTCTTCTTTGGCCAGCTTGGTTGGACTGCACCCTGTGAACCGGTTGTGCCGGCGCGACTGACCTTGTCAGATTCCACGGAGGGAGATTCTTTCCCACGTTCTGTCGTAGGGAATGCAGTGATCGAACTGCTCGACTGCTGGAATGACATGGTTATGGGATGGCACAGCGGTACACGCAGCGTAGACTTGATAGAAAGAGATCGAGAATGAATGGAAGAGGTAGGGGGGTAGGTCTTGTGAGTGGGATGGGGTGGGTGCGCTGCAACGATTTAAATAGAAAAGGCGAGGGTCCTTGAAACAGCGCTCACCCTGAGCCACTTTAGCAGTCACCTTCGAAAGTGGCCGCGCCTGGTACATAAAGCTCGTCTCCAACCCCTCTGTTCGATTTACCATCTCTGTTCTAAATTATCCTGAACGAGCAACAAGCACTCTATTGTGATGGAGTCCCTCCAATTCACCGAGAGAGACACTCATCTGGCGGCTGAGAGACGTCTCAAAAATTCCACGGAACCGCCAGAGTCGATCTAGATCAAATTTTTTTTTCGATCCTCAGTCATCTCGACAGCTAGACCACAAGAACGTTGATCGCTTCTGCAGGATTTTCCAAGAAGAGGGATGCCAGAGCATGGCTCTGGCACACCGTGTATTTACCTGCAGCCAGCTGTATCGCAGCATAATCTGGCGGCGGCTGCCCTGCAGAAGGGCGGGCAACTACAGGGACTACATGGACTACATGGACGAAACGCCGGATCGCAGTCGGGGCTAGAAGTCTTGTCGCCTGCCCACCGCTGGTGGGTCGTTGACGTTTATTCGGACGGTAAGATTTCTTAGGCTGGTAGCCGCGAGGAGGTCTGACTTTTGCTCGTTGTAGATATCAGGGACGACCTGAAGACATCTCTCATCAAAGAATATTTCAATGAGATGCCACTGAGTGATGGAGAAATCTACCGCTGAATCCGCCAGTATGCGAACAACAGAAATCTCCACAGAGAGCTGCGGTGGAAGGCTCAGCTGTGTTTGAACAGCCAAACCCGTCTGCAGTCACTGTTTAAGAATACTCGCCTCAGACATGCCTTTGACAGCGTGCTTGGAATACCAGGACACTGGAATGCAATGCGGATCAGCATGCTCCATCAAGTCATAGCAGTCAGTTGTGATGAGGTTGGTTCTCACTCAGCATCATTCATTCACCCATACTAATGTCAGCAGGAAATTCTCAATACTTGAATTATGTGAAGGATTTCTGGTTCTCTCTCATCAACAACAATCCAGTGTTGATGGTGAAGATTGACCAGCATACAGTCAAGACACTTCAGTTGATGATGCTGTGCTCCAAAGCCAAAGTGATGCATGATCTTGTGACCAGTGGTCAGATCTTCACTGACTTTGATGAAGATGAAAGAGATGCTATCTGAGAGAAGCTGTGGTCATTCAGCACCCTGGTTCTATCTCTGAATTCTTTCTTTAAACATTTCAAGTGTTTCAAAAGCTGGGCTCACTGTCTGGCAAGGCTGTTCACCTTGGGGAAGTCCACTGTACACCAGACAATGAAGGGCTTATGGACAACATGCAGTGATGGCAGTGACATATGCCCGGTTCAAACCTCTGAGTCCGCATTCAACAGTCAGCGTGAGCCTGTTGGAAGGCAGTTTGATCTTGCCTATCAGCAGATGTGGCTATACACCATGCACCATTATCCACAGATGCCTCGCGACCCAAAACACAAAAATCAGCTGGCCAAGGCGCGGAACGCGACCGCGGACGAGTGTGTTGTGTCTGAAATGGCGTCCCTCACTCATCAGCTGAGATTCAGATCCACTCAGATCACAAACCTCATCAACCAAGCTCCTGACCAATTGATCGCTGAACAGGCGTTGCTGAAGGCTCCGCAGCCCGAGTATTTCTCATATGACAATACCCTATTCGATACATTGATCGATCGGATCGTCGAATGCTTCACAGTGGCCATGCCCAGGGACGTTTGAGCACCATCAGTTCTTGTCAACTGCTTGGTGAAACGCAAGGCTCGCTGTGAACACCCTTCCATGGAGGCCCTCGAGCAAGACAGTCCACTACTCTTCGTCAATCACATGCAGGCGGCAGCTGTACCGGACAGGGTCATGACGTTTTTCATGAGGTGCTGTGTCTATCTTGCATTCTTTGGGCCACAGCCGTCCCTTCGTCAAGGGGCGGATAGCACCCCCTCTAGCGTGCCTATGTCACCACTATTTGTATCAGAGAACAGTCTGATAGACGATCCATCAGAGGCCCAGGGGCATGGATACATTATCCAGCACTCACAAGACGACGGCCGGAAATGACCCAGGCGCGAGCCACAGATGCCCCTGCTGCCGGAGATGACGCGGAGGTCGAGAGAGCAATTGCTGACAATCTCAATGAGATGCTGGAGGGTGATGCGGAACAGAGAGCCGCAGGCGAGCATGATACGCAAGAACACACCCAGTGGGAGAGAGAACAACGCGCCCTGCTGGAGATAGAACACAGTGCCTTGGTTGAGAACACACGCATCAAATCAGAAAAGCAGATGGCACAGGAGCGAGCCATGGCTCTCACTCAACTGCAAAGCCAGGTAGCCGAGCAAACCACTGACAGTGCGCAATGTGAAACCAACACTGCTACTGCTACACTTTCCCGGCTCATCACCCAGTTCAACGCGCGGAGCATGATCACAGGATGGCGTCAGCAAGGAAGTGTGCTGGGCAATGATGAAGCGCGACCGCCCCAGGACACTCACAAGAAAACTTCCACTGGACACCAGTGAGTGAATCCAGCAGGAATTAAAAAAGATCTCGGATGGAAAAACAAGCAGCCAACCGGGCCAGTGGTCATATTCCAGTGGTGCATACCCAGCCGGGATGGCACCCTGAGGACCCGAGCTCAACCCCAGTGCCACAAATGAGGGAGCCATCATCAGCAATGAATATGACAGCAACACAAGCAGCAGTGCCAAATCAACTGGATGGAAATGCTGAAGAGCAAGCTGCAGAAGTGCCAGCGCAGCGAGCGGATGACAAAAGGCAAGTGGTGGAGCCTTCCGCATTGGTACAGGCACGTCGACGTCATATGGAGAATCCCGCTGTAGAATTATCCAGTCATCTGCGGGGCGCGGGGCCAGAAGTGATCTGGGGACCCTCTGAAGAAGCTGCCGCGGCTGAAGCCTTTCCATCCGCCTCAGGGCAAGGTGATCAGGGACGGGCCAGCAGCATTGTCGTTGAAGCAGAAACAGCCAACCCCGCCCCCCCCGCCACCGTGTCTGCAGGACGGGAACGACGGCGGAAGTCCAATCCTGGGGATCCACAAGACACAAAGGGCCAAACCAACGCGGCGAGATGTGGATCGAGTGGCCAACCGGGTCAATGCAATCAGTGACGAGCTTGAAAGCAGATCAGACGCCAAGTAGCTGCCCGGGCCCATAGATGATCCACCGAACCTAGAGCCACCACTAGTCGAGCCTAGAGCGGCGGCTCCAGCGGTGGAGTTGACACGGCTAGAAACGAGGGAGAAGGGCGCTCACGTTCGATTTGACGTGGGCGCCGCGGATGCCGAGCTCGACCAAAGCGACGGCCGGACAGGTGGAGGCAGCCGAGTGGCCAGGAACATCGCATCACGAAGGGGGCTTCGTCCGCGGCCCGTCACCCAATACAACTTCAGAGAGCTGGCGGCAAGCTCGCTCACGGACCCTGGTGGAGACAGTACCAATGTCGCCGACAGGGAAGCTTGGCCGCCCACGATCCCGCTTCCGTCCATTGAGACGGAGCCAGAGCCGGCGCGCAACGATGGGAAGATCACAATCACACTTCACGTCTACGAGCGGAAGCAATGGAGGGTGGCCGACGTCCTATCCATCGATCCTTCTAGGAAGGATGCCCTGGAGAGAATTGTCTGGGGCTACAAGCGGCGGGGAATGTTTCTGTACTACGACATGCGCATGCGGTCAGTCAGCGTCTCGTCCAACTTTCGAGCGGCGATGTCGGACGGAGCCAACGTGCTGCTGTTGATTCCCAAGGAGGCAAAGGCGCAGATGGACCAAGAGTGTCCGATTGAGCCGCCGAACACGGCCGCTGGACTGCTGCGCAAGAGGAGCAAAACACCAAAAGAAGAATGGTCAGATGTAACATGTAACTGCATATACGGTAGTCTCAAGCCCATATGTGGAATAAGAAGATATTCTTGAGAGGCGATGTAGTCTTGTTTCGACGTAAGCACTGTACCGACTGACCCAATGACACAATTTGTCACAAAGGGAGAAGACACGAAATAGAATAAGATCTGTGCCAATAACAGTTCCAGGAATGTCGACCCAGAGAGCATGTCTTGGTGCCGCCGTTCCAGGAGAGAAGACACGTTGAATAGAGAGCCATGAAGAATGACCTAGGAAGATTCTCCTAGATCTGCCACTGTCTGTCTCATGAAAATTGTCTCAAGACAATTCTTGGAGGATAATAAGACTATATAAATAATGTATAGTTAGTTACATGTTACACACTATAAAGATATAAAGATTGTTGGCCTGTGGCCTCGTTCCTTAGAACAACGAGATACGGCTGACATAATCACTAAGCTGCCTGCTGACTAATTTGTTACTAACTTACCAAGACGTCCGCAAAGGAAAAAAAAAAAAAAAAAGCTTCAAACATCAACATCCTGAATCCAAGCAATTGAAACAGACACCGGCATAAACATAAACACCACCACCAACCACCCGCTCTCCCCACCACCCCAGCCTGGAATACATAACATACCCCTCTGTCATTCCTCCGTCCCTGTCTCGTGCCCATTCATTTGCGTGCCCTTACCCATTTGCTTCGGGGGAGCTTTTTCATTCCGGGTGTAATATTCCTGGTCTCTGTATTATTTGCCCAGCTCTGCCTGTACCAAAACCTGCGACTTCCGAGTTTAATTTTTTTTTTATTATTATTATTTATTATTTCACAACAATAACAGTCCAATTGCTATATTCTACTCTTTCTCTAGTGCTCTAATATTCCAAGTCGCCTCCATAACGCCCAATAATGTCGTCAGATAAGGTCCTTCCCGTACCCCCTGCTGTCCCAGCAAGCCAGCTCGCCGCCTTCAACACATCTTCTCTCCAAGCGCAACCGTCATCCTCCGCCTGGGACCGCATCTCCAAATGGGCCTCCGAGAATAAGGCAATTGTCTACACCATTGCCGGAGTTGCCGTTGTCGCCACAAGCGCCGGTGTCGTCTACTACCTATCAGCGTCCGGCCGCTCCGCGGCCTCCGCACACCCTGCGGAGAAGAGGAAGAGCAAAAAGGAGAGGCGGCGTGAGAAAAAGAAGGCTGAGGAAGAGAAAAAGGCTGGCGTTGCTGCCGCTACTGGTATGGCTACAAACCCATCTTCCTTTTCTGCTGCTACGATACCTGTATACACGGGTAGAACTGGTGCGAGGTAGATGCTGACCCAACTCTCCGATACAGACCCTGCCAAGAAAAAGCCTGAGGAAGTTCCAGAAGAATTGCCCAAGGTCGACGCATCTACCGTCGATAGCCTGTCTGCCGAAGTATGCGCGCCTTGAATCACCCGCAAAACAACCCAGTAAATCATTTGCTAATACGAGATTCTTTTCTCCTTCCCCCAGACTCGTGCGGCATACGCTGCAAAGTTAAAGGCCGCCGGAAACAAGGCCTTCGGATCCCTCGATTACAACCGAGCCATCGAACTATACGGCAAGGCCATCCTTTGCAAACCCGATCCGGTGTACTACTCGAACCGCGCTGCATGCTACAATGCCCTCAGTGAGTGGGACAAAGTGGTGGAGGACACCTCCGCCGCTCTTTCCATGGATGATGAATATGTCAAAGCCATGAACCGCCGAGCAAACGCTTACGAGAAGTTGGGTAAATTCAGCGAGGCTCTGCTGGACTATACTGCCAGCTGCATCATCGATGGCTTCGCTAAGGAATCTAGCAAGCAGGCTGTGGAGAGGCTGTTGAAGAAAGTTGCGGAGCAAAAGGGACATGCCATCTTGGAGGCGAAGGGGAAGAAACTCCCCGGTGCCACGTTCGTGTCCAACTACCTGCAGAGCTTCCGCCCACGACCACTGCCTGAGGGCCTGGGTGAAGATGTGGAGTTAGACGAGGACAGCGGCAAGGGTCAGTTGCGCAAGGGTTTCCTCGCCTTGTCCGAGTCGACGGGAGATGGTTATGAGGAGGCAGCAAGAGCGTTTGAAAAATCACTCGAGTTGGGGAATCTTGGGAACTTTGAAGCCCTTGCCCTGAACATGCGTGCCACCTTCACATACTTGACTGGCGATGTCCAAGCTGCCCTGCAAGACTTGAATAAGAGTGTGGAGCTTGATCCGTCGTTAGTCCAGAGCTACATCAAGCGAGCAAGTCTACACCTTGAACTTGGTAGGCTTTCGTCTCTTCTATCCCAAACACAAGGTACAACGATCGGACTGAAACTAACGTCTCAACAATAGGCAACCGAGAGGCTGCAGCCGATGACTTTGACCTCGCCGTGGCGCAGAACAAGGATGACCCGGACATCTACTACCACCGTGCCCAGCTCCACTTCATCCTAGGCGAGCTCCCGGAGGCCGCCAAGGATTACCAAAAGTCCATCGATGTCGACCGGGACTTCATCTACTCGCACATCCAACTCGGTGTAACACAGTATAAGATGGGCTCCGTCGCCTCTGCGATGGCCACCTTCCGCCGCTCCGTTAAAAACTTCGAGAACGTCTCTGACGTCTACAACTACTACGGTGAGCTCCTGCTCGACCAGCAGAAGCATGCTGAGGCGATCGAGAAGTTCGACAAGGCGGTCGAGCTGGAGAAGAAGAACAAACCGTGGGGTATCAACGTGCTACCACTGATCAACAAGGCTCTAGCCCTGTTCCAATGGAAGCATGATTTTGCTGAAGCAGAGAGCCTATGCCAGAAGGCGCTCATCAGTACGCTCCATCCTATTTTATATCCCGTTGTTGTTCTCCATATCTAACCCCCTTTACCCTAAAATGGCTATTAACCCAATCTCTCTTCCGATAGTTGACCCGGAATGCGACGTTGCCGTGGCTACCCTCGCCCAACTCCTCCTCCAACAAGGCAAAGTATCCGAAGCGCTCAAATACTTTGAGCGAGCGGGCGAGCTTGCCCGAACAGAAGCCGAAGTGATCAACGCCGTGTCATATGCCGAAGCGACACGGGCGCAACTCGAAGTCCAGGAGCGATATCCCAAGCTCGCTGCCCGGTTGCAGCAAGTGGCGGGAGCGGGTGGTATGGGTGTGCCGCCTTCGTAAAAAAAAGAAAAAAAAGAAAAAAAAGAGCCATTTTTTAGTCTCCATCTCCCCTTTCTCTCCTCCACCCTCCTATATAATTATTATAGCACCTACCTTTCGACGATGGGAACGAAAAGACGAACGCGTTATTGCTCAACCAGACTAGAGTTACCAAGCAAAGGGAAAAGCAAAAGCACACCGAAGCAAGCCCGTCCATGAACAATGAAACCCGAACGCTGTTGATGATTTGCTGGCTAGGATAAGATAAGATGACATCCTGTCCCCTGGTTTTTCTAAACAAAAATGGAAAAAGAAAAAAGAAAAAAAGGCACAAGAAAAACAAAAGTTGATCAACTAGACTTGACGAGAAGGATAAACCAGGCCAAAAAATTCTCTTCTCTTTCCCTCTCCGCATATGCTTCGTGTTGGGCAGCCCCTAGCTTTACTGCTTCTCGTCTGTTATTTCGTTCTTCCTTTGTTCAACGTCTGATCATTTCGTTTTTCGCTTAGACTGTTTCCCTATCTCTGGCTGCTGGCATCCCATCCTAACCCCATTCATCTCGCCCGTGCATTTCCGTTTCGTGTTCTCTGGTTTTCTTGTCCCGCGAGTTACTTGCAGACATACTGTCTGGGTTTGTGTGTTTGAATGTATGTATGTATATGCGTGTGAGTGGAGTGATTGGACAGTGCCGGGAGAGGGACGTATTTACTGCCATACCTGGTTAGGGTTTGGCTGCTGCAACGTTTTAAATGTAATTATATATCTGTTTCTTCTTCCCTTTTCCCTCTGGCCCCTGTTTTTATTTTTTGTATGCCTGCTCTGGCTGGATGGAGTTCAAATAGATCTGATCCAATGTGGATCAGACACATCTCACATGACTGCGATGACATCATCAGCCGCCTGGCCAAACGCTGGTTCTAATTCCGATACCACGATACCACAGGGAACAGCCCTAAATTGAGACACCAGCTGGTAAATACCATGCGTATCCATACCACCGATCTATGCGGCATGCATCGCAGGCGTGTAACTGTGACCTGGACACAACCTGCAACTCCGCACCAACATCTGGTAGCTGGTACCGCGGGGAACTGGACAAAACCCGCCAGCCCTTCTGCCTGGGCTTGATTGATTGCTTGATTGATTGATTACATCTTTGTTGGTGTCTGCATCCCGTAAGGGCGCTATGCAACTGGTCTTGATCTAGTCTAATTAGGTATCTTAAGTGAGGCTTGACAGAGTCTCACATGCTGCTACATAAATATAGCTTTAAATAAATAAACAGACAGATATCTTATGAAGATTATTAACTAGATTTGAGTGTGAGTTCAAGCTACTCTTATAGAGATGCAGAGAGAGAAGTTTCTATACTATTCAGATCTTCAAGCTCTAGATTATTATTATTATTATTATTCTTCCATTATACTCATATGCAAGCGGAGCTTATGATGAAGTCCTTGCGTGATGTTAAATACAGGCCAAGTGTTGGTTAACTATACAGGAGGAGGAAATACAAGTGTTGAGACCACGCCAAGATAACAGAACATAGGAAAATACAAAGGAGTGACAATTAGATACATGCGATAATAACTTCCCAGCCCAGGAACATAGAGTGATTTATTGGAGTGATTTGTACACCTCTGTATTTATTAGAAACCTGAGGTGCTTGGGTTCCGGATTTAATGTATCCCCCTGCGGGTTTCGAACCTGCACGCCTTGGTTTCCCTAAAGGCAGATAGATCTGTAGTATTGAGAATAATTTATATAATTGAAGTATCTTCTCTATATCAGACTCTGTTAAGTTATTCATATTAATAATATAATAGAACTGAATAAGTAGTTCAGTCTTTTAAAGAAATTATACAGTCGGGGATCTTCCAAAATCAAGAAGATTGGCGCATAGGGCTAGGTCTCTTCACCTTACAATTTGTATGGCAATTTGACCCGGGGTTGTGGTGTGGTAGTTAGGGGTGGACGGGGGATAATCCCACACAGGAGTTTCGAACCACGTTTGGTTCACGTATGGTTGGATTACTCCACCACCACACGGGGTATGCGGTCGGCGATGGGGTCAAAATGCTCGTATGATCGAGGGCTATTCGATGGATCTATCGGCGGGTTCTTATTCGAAAAATTGAGCGAGTTCGTGGTGGGGCAGTCACAGGTTCTTAAAGTAGTGATATTGAATGCAACTTGTATTGTGATAGATATAAGTTATTGTGTGGAAGGTGTAAAGCTTGTGTGATTGAAAGGTTGCTAGCTTGTGGAAAGTTATATGGTGGAAGGATTAGTAAGCCAGATCACATGACCTGACACCCTCACTCACCAGAGTAACTATACACAATGCTATATACAAAATTCACCTTCAAATCAAGTACAGGTACAAAAAATGACTGGAAAATGTGTAGTAATGAAAAATCAGTCATGAGATACATTATTTTTTATCTCTCTATCTCTTTATCTTCTTTCATCTTAATATTCTCCTTTCAATGTGTATATTTCAACATTTTAAGTGATTTAGTAAGCTCATCCGCTGTGTTCTTGATAAATGAAACATATTAAATAGATATCTTATTCTTATAGACAAGATTCTGAAGAATGTGAAAACAGACCTCTATATACTTTAAGCAGCATGAAATTGCTTCAGAAGAGAATAGCTCTATGACAGACTTATTATCAGTATGAATTATATAAGTCAGATTATTGACTGTGATGAAAATGAGATGATTATCAGCATTCAGATTGTTGAGATAGAATGAAATAAAATCAGCATCTTCTAGAAGCTCACAGAGATAGACAAGCTTATATACAGTCTCAGAGAATGCAATATATTCAGCCTCTGTTGAAGATTTAAAGACCTCTGTTTATCAGCAGCTCTGTCATGCATAGACTGGCCGGCGGGACCATGAATTTCACATTTGGTCCCATTTGGTCTGATCTCATACATTTCTTGGTGTGAGTCTCACCAGGACCAAGCCTTAAAAAAATCTGAAAATGAACCATTTCTGAGAGAAATGGCATGAAAAATGACCAGATTTAATTCAAGAACAGTGAAATGAGAGTAATTTCTCAGAATAAACTATGAAAGATGATCATTCTTTCAAAATCAGAATGAGACTGAAACTGAAGATTAAAATCAGTCTCATTCAGTTCATTCAGTGATTGCTTATATAATCAGAATTTGATAACAATTATTGATAATGCTTATGAAACAACTAAATACATTCTTGTACAAGTTTATTCTTCACTTTCTTATGAAAACTACACTTCTCTGATATACTGTGATCAGAGATATTAAACTGTCTGATAATTTCATGTTTTACAATCATGAGTTTCTTGATTATTTCTTCTTATAATTGTTCTCAGTAATAGTAATAAATATCTCAACTTGAGTTGAACTTTCACTTCATTTTCATCTCTGTTAATGAAATTATCAGAATATCATATATCATCAGTGCAACAGTTGAATATATACTCTCAATAATTTTTCATAACTCTAGAATTGATTTGATGTATAAATTCATCAGATTATCTTGAAGATAGCAGTCAAATTCAGTTTTATAAGCATGTAGTTTTGCCTGATTTTCAGTTATAATCAATGTATACAAGTTCTGTTTCAAAGTTAGTATTATAGTTCTATGAGATATGAAGCATTATCAAAGATCATTACTTATTAGAGAATTATATTTCACTGTCTTCATATCTCAAACATCTGCTCATTCAAATCTCTGATAGTTGATATTGTAGTAGTTTCAGACTAATTTAATATATAAGTCTCATTTCTTCTCTATTTAATCTTGAGAAGTGTAAATATTAACTTAACAGAAGAAATCTAGTAGAGCTGCTATAGTATAGTACTCTGTAAAAGATTGTTCAGTTTTACTGTAATAATATACTAGTTTATCTCTTACAGTAATAATAGCCTGTGCTATAGCATTATCTCAGACTGAATTTCTTTTTAAGTGATTTAACTACTTCTTAAGATGAGTAAATAAACTATTATACACTTATCAGACTGACTGCAGCATTGATGTATAAGTGATTGAGACTGTCTTTATTATCTTATAAAACTGAAACAGTAAATCAATCACATATTTTAATTGAGTTCACTTCATATCAGAAAGTTTCAATATCTGAATCTTTTTCTGATCAGAGTGTTGCACTCAATAATTAATTATCTGATATAATTGAAGAGTCTGAATAGTTATCTTATATATTGAACTTCATTATATTCTAACATTCTGTATCATATTCAGTGATATGACTGATTTATTTATTTATTGAATATCATGAAATTGTTATTATTATTTAGAGAAGATACAAATCACATTAACAATGTTTCAAATCTGTGATATTTAAATTATTAGTCAATCTATTCAAAATTAACAGTAGCATTATTAAAAAGCATTATCAAAAAGCAATATTAAAAAGTGTTGTCAAAAAACATTATCTTTTACAAAGTGAATGTAAAAGTTACTTGAGTAATCACTTTCATCTTATTCTCATCTTAAGAATCAGTCATCTCATTATTCTTTGTCTTGATGTTAAGATTCTTTATCAGTGTTTACATTATAAGTTAAATCACATGAGCAATGCAGAGAATATGACCTTGTTTATCATTTCAGAAATACAAAGTTAATTTTTGCTTCAAGCTATTCATCATAATGTAGTTATTCACAGTATTATCAGTTATAATTATAAGAAGACTGAGACTAATATTTCAATAGTTATTTTTAATCACAGTCATTAATATCTCTGTTATATAATTCTCAGTATGACTACTGATCAATGATTCAAATCTAATTAATATCTCTTAATAAGTTCAGTTCTTATCAATGTAATAACATGTAACTCTTATAAATGTAAGATTATTTATAATAGTTCATGCATTCACTGTGAGAGACACTCTTCAATAATTCTTCAACTCTGATTCTAGATGTTGTATATTAACTTTGTAGTATATCTCAAGATTGAACTGAAGACAGAATTGATATGAAATATGAAGATTTGAATTAAGCATTTGAAGAAGTGTTCAGAATTCGAGGTTTTTAATTGATTGAAGAGAAAGATTCAGAGATATACATATACAAAGTAATTGTTCATAGAAGTTATCAGATAAGAGTTATAAAATCAGAGTACTGATATATGATTATTTTCACATGATTTTCTTCAAATTAGAAAGTTAGTGTTATTAAAAATTATTATCTGATAGAGTAACTTATCAGCTCAGTAGTAATTTTCTGATTATTTTTCTTTTATTATCTGCATTCTGATAACTTCAGATGTCAGAAAATTTCTTCAGAGCTATGATCAGTTCATGATAAATATTTCTGAATAAAGTTGTAGTGATTGTAGCAGAGAGATGACTCTTCAGTAATCTATAATACAATCTGTTGATAATTATTTTATAGTTCATCTCAGTATTTGTGTTGAGTTTTTCATAAATTTCATGACCTGAAATCAGATATGAAGAATGAAGTGATTATTCATTATAATTGAAAGAGAGCATTCTGTGTTGAATTATAAATAATATAGACTTTGTAATTCACAGTGATTTCTTGAAGAGTTTGTGAATCTTCAATAGAAGTAAAAGAAGTGAAAGAAGTGAATTCAGAAGATATGATAATAATTTAAGAAAGATAATAATTTATTTTCAATAACTGATCACTGATGTGTGTAAGAAGAATTAATATAAGAGAAAATAATCTTCTTTCTTAGCTTAGTTATAATTTTAGTACTAACTCAGATTGAATATCATCAATATATAAAAGTAAATAAACAATCTTGATTAATCTCTGTTATATTTCTTGAAATATATTAATATTATAAATATCAATGTTGAAAAAATATTGATACTTATACATTATAGTGATATGATAGTTGAATATATATATATATATTATTCCTGATATTGATAATTGATTATAACTTGTACAATAATTTTTGAAAACTCAAAATTAATTTCAATTATTAACTAATAGTTATGAACTTATAACTAACTAATATAAAAAGAAAAAACTTTTTCTACTTATTATCTTTCTTCTCTTCCTCATTCTTCTCATCATTTTTCATAATTCACTTCTTATTCTCATTCTTCTTCTTCTCCTCCTTATCTGAGATGATAATCACCTCAAAATCTCTCTCTGCTGCCTTCTCAGAGAAGGGTTTCTGCTGCTTTCTCTCAGCCAGGTCAATCTGCACCTCAAAATCCCACATTTTCTGATCTGCTGTCTCAGATTTCATCTCAGCAGTAAGCAGATTGATATGCTCAGAGAGCAGAGCTGTCTTCTCAATGTTCTGAATTATGAAGTGCATTCAAGACCTGAACAAGGCCTCAATCTCCTTCTCTATCAGCTTCTGCTAATCAATTAGAGAACAGAAGTGTTATTAAAAATCATTATCTCTTAATAAAAAACTTATCAGTTTTAGCTTCTTTGTCTCTTACTTCAATATCTTCTCAATCTTCTTCTACTGTCACTTATTTACAGTAATACTCTTCTTCTCTCTCTCTCTCTTCATCTTGATCTTAAATCATTCTCAGAACTTCTTCTGATCTCACTGCTGCTGCATGAGACTCTTCACTGTCTTCTTTTTCAATCTCTTATAGACAGTGTTATCTGCATTATTTCTATACTTAGTTCAGTCTAAATCTATCAGAAGTATTACTTAAAATCATTATTATTTTACTTTCTTACAGAGCCTTTTCAAGACATTATAATGTGTCTTACAATCTGTCTTCTCACACTTGAACACCTTCTTCTTCTCTCTCTTCAATCTGTGACAGCACTCACATGCCTTGATAATTCACAGAACTGCAGAATATTTAAAGAGGAATAACATGATTGATTTTGATAAGTATTGAAGAGAGAGTGAAGACAGGTAATGATATAATGATAATGATGATAATGATAATGATGATAGTGATGATAATGATGATGATAATAATAATAATGATGATAATGATGATAGTGATGATAATGATGATGATAATGATAATAATGATGATGAAATGAGAAGTGCATTGAAATATATTATTGACTTATCAAATATAAAGAGACAAAGAAACTATTAACAGCTTTTAGAGATGTACAGAAACAGCTACAGTGTTGCATAGCAATATTATCTTCATTCAATATATACACTATTAGTATTCTTTGTATACATTTATCATATAATCTATATCAGAAATACATGCAGAAAACAGATCTTTATTACTAGAGAGAATGATTACAGCAATTCTCTGTTTTTATATTATAAAGATAAGTTATTCTCATTTCTTTCTTCTCTCTTTTCTCTTCTTCTTCAACTCATCACTAAGTTCAAGCTGGTATGAAAACTATTAAAACACTCATAGAAACTCTTAAATTAAAGAGTATAGACTAATCAAATTTTAAATGCAGATGAATCAAATTATATTTAATAATACTAATTATTCATCTCTCTTTTAATAAAATAATAGTTATGTCTTCTCTCTCTTCTCTCTCAAATGAAACATGACTCATGAAAAGTGAGTATCACACTAGATCATAATGATCAACATGACCTCAGCACACAGAGCTGTATACATGCAGTGTGTGCTGAACTGAGAGACTGCATGAGTTGCAAACTAACAGCAGCATCTTAGAAAGAGCTGTGCAGTGTGAGAAAGCTATAACTCTCAGTCACATGCATGGAGAGTGAATTACTGCAGTAAGTGTATATGCATTGTATGAAAGTAATACTTTTTGATAACACTCAGTCTCTGATATCATGAAAATAGAGTCTCTTCATGAGATTCATTTTTATCAGAAGTCAGAGAATCTTATATTTCTCAAGATCATCTTCACACATCTTGTCTATAAAATTAATGAGAGAAATCATCAATTTCAGTGTTCTGCTCTTAATATTATTCAAGTGACAGCAGAGTTCACTCTGACCACACTTTTTAAGTGTATATTTTCTAATTATTCACATTTATACAGATATATACTGATTATTTGTTAGATGATATTAAGACAATGACTCATCACAGCTGTGTTACTCTCACTGTGAGAGATACACAGTTGATAATAAATATTGTAAAGACTCTGAGAAGTGAGTATTTTAAGAATACTGCAGCTCTGTAATCTTGATTTTTTTTTATTTTTATTTTTTATTTTTTTCTTTTTCTTTTCTTTTTTTTTTTTTTATTGTGATTTTTTCTTGTATTTATTTTGTTTTTTGTTTTTTGTTTTTTTTTGTATTTTATGTTTTTTTTATAATTAAAATTATATAAATTATGATCTGTGTTCAGAAAAGTAATAATATTTGATAATACTCTCTATTGAATTTTCAACAAATGAGCACTATATTATGATATTATGTAAGTGAGAAATGATTTCATAATCTCATTTAATGCTATTCTTAATAATGAGATCAGAATGAAAATGTAACTAAGAATTCAAACATATTCTTTATCTGAGACTAGATTTTTATTTGAAAAGTGAATCTGAGATCTTTAATATTTAAAATAATGTGATTTGAGATCAATGTGATGAACATAAATCATGACCAGGAGTAATGCTTTTAGGCAACATGATAACTGTAAAGTTTGGTCCTGGTCTCAGACACGGTCACACGGTCAGTCTAGTCATGCATAGACTGGTCACTGGGACTATGAATTTCACATTTGATCTCATTTGATCTGGTCTCATACATTTCTTGGCGTGAATCCCGCTGGGACTAGTCATTAAAAAAACATGCAAAGTGACTATATATGAGATCTTAAAATGAAATCATGACTTGAAAAAAATGAGAAAGTGATCTTATTTGATTTCATTTAGTTTCATTCTTAGCATAAAGTTACTATTTTTAGACATTTTAAGGTTTTTTTTAGACTATTTTTAATTTTTTAAAAAGTAACACTTTTTGATAACACTCAAATGAGATTTAAAGTCATTTAAAGCAATAAAAATAATTTAAATTGAGAAGTGGAAATCATGATCTCATTTGGAAAATGTGACAAGAGTAGACAGTAAGTCTCACTGAGACAGTATGAAACTACTATCTAATGTTAAAACTGTGTAATGGAATCGGTTGAATTGGTAATGAGACTATCAAAAAATCTGGTCCTGGTCTCAGACACGGTCACACGGTCAGTCTAGTCATGCAACAGAGTTATCTGTCATGTAGATGATATAACTGATGATTGAACAGGATTCTGAATCTCTATCAGCTCAATCAGCATCTGCATATACTACAGGTTCAATTTCAGCATCTCTGTGATAAATTATACCTTCATTGATTGAACTCTGTAGATATCAGAGTATATGCTTGTATACAGCTCAGTTCTTTGATATAGGCTGAGAGCTGAATCATTTAAGAAATTCTGCAGTGAAGCTCATATCAGAATGTGTATTAAATATCAGATATTACAGAGATTCAATACTGAATTAATAGAACTGTAGAATAAATTCTGCTGTGTATGCAATTGATTTCTTATTATTATTCATGAAATTAATGTTCTTCTTCATAGAAGTGAATGTAGAATAATAGTCATTTATTAAGAACTTCTTCAGAAGATTTCTTATAAAGAGAGATTAAGATAATATTAATAAAGTTAAATCTCTATTAATCTTTATTTCTAGATAGCAGTTGAAATTCTCTACATTCTTGATCTTGTAATTAGCAGTAATTTTAGCTTTGACTCAGTTCAGATCTTCAATTTTCAGGCTGTAGAGACAGACATCATTTACATAGATAATTATATAGATCTGTCTTTCATCATGAATAAATAGTTCAGTATTATAGAAACTGACACAGAAGTCTGAGTGTAATAGCATCTTTCACAGCTTCTTATATTATAAGAGTACTGCTTGCTTAAGACTGTAGAGTCTCTGCATTAACTCACACATAAGATTATCATGATCTTCGCGGAATTCTGTGAGTTGATTCATATATATCTGTTCATCAGCAGGCAGTTAAGTGTTTAAAAAAGCAGTTATTATATCAATCTACAGAACATATCATTTTCAGAATACTGAGATTATCATGAGAGCTTGTGAGATAAATGCAGAGATAATGAGTACAAAGATTCTTAAGTAATTGACTCTCTTCTATTGAAGATTTTCACAGACAACTCAGTGAGTCTTATAGCAGATAATCTCACTTATATTATTAAACTTTTTATCAAATACTCATTGACTGTGAAGAACACTCATTTGTGATATTCTCTCAATCAGTTATCAGATCTCTATCTGTTTCAAATAATTGATCTCTTTAACACAGGTCTTGTAATAATACTTTCATTCTATGAAAGCTTTGACACATGTGAGGTTTTTCAGAATCAGAAGTGCAGTAATCTCAGAATCAGTAAATAGATCTTCAAGACTGTTTCTCACTGAAGCTTTCTTCACTGTAGTGATATCTCTTGTAGATATTGAAGAATTATCAGATTTAACTGTGAGTTCTGAGAAATTCAGTGCATTCTGCACTAAAAAGATAGGTATTCTTGTGAAGATATCATAGTCAATTCATCAATTATTAGTGAGTATAAGAAATAATGAACACTCAGGTTGAATTTTCTCATTAATGAACAGATTATCAACTGATGAATCAGAAATTGTTACAATCTCTTGATAAGCTGCAGTGAGTAGGCCTGATATCACTGAAGAAATCACTGCAGCTGCTTTACAGACTGCATTGAGTAGAATCTTTGAGTTGTATGAAGTAGTCAGTATTGATAAATTAACAAGATGAAGATTCTTCTGAAAGATGACATCTTTTGATATGTATAAATGCTCATTGAAGAGGTTCATCAATCTATAATTAATAAAATCATCATATTTCACAAAAATCAACTCTTTGAAATGAGAAGTCATCTTATTGATGAGCTTGAGAACTATCTTCAAGAATGCTTTGCAACCTCATCAGTGAATGCCGCGTGCAGAAGATAGAGCTTCAAGTCAGACCTCATATAATGTAATTGACTTTGTATTTTCAGAGCTCTCATACAATATCATTGAGATTGATATAAGATTAAGCAGCTCTGTAACTGTAATAACTGCCTCATCTCACATCTTTTCTGAAGCTGAAGAGTCTATTAATAGTGATCAGAACTTCTCAATGATCAAACTGATTAATTGTTTGAATACTTCATCTTACTATGAAGTATAAGAAGGAGTCAGCTCTCATTTTATTTCTTTACTGAGTATATATACTGTGACTGCATTTGAATTCAATTCTTCACAGTCTGAGTGAATGATCACAATGCCATGTCTCAGCAGATTCTTAATGAATTGATTGAAGATCTGTAGATATCTCAATATCTCATCCTTGCATTTCAATAGAAATATTCATCTCATTCAGATGACATCATCTGTAATCACTATTACAAGCTTCTTATCAGCATAAGATGATATATCATTCTCAGTTTCAAGAGTCTCATCATCATCAAATATATTCACTCAAATCTTCAAGGCCTTGCGGATGGCACAATGTGGTGTGGAATTCTTGTAGAAAGCATATTTCTGTTTAACCTTAATATATATAACACAGAATGATAATTTTTTCAGACTGATAATAACTATATTAAATTGCAGATCTCTAATCATTTTTAATATACTATTTTCACTGATATGATTAAGTTGACAATGTCACTCATCTATCAGAAGCTGTTTTAAAAGAACTGCAGATAATTGAGATAAAGATGAGATAATAAAGAAATTAGTATCTGAATTCTTAGAATTAATTAACTGTTCAATCTTCTCACAGCTGAAAGACTTCAAAGACTCTGCATTCAGATTGTAATCTGTTGAGATTGTCTTTGATTTTGAAATGATTATATATATCACTGCTTCATACATTAAGTTATTCATTATCTCATGAAATATCAGTGAGCTGTCAGATAGAATGTAAATATTATTATAAGACAGATTGATATAGAAGATATCACTGTTGATAGATAATAGAAACTCAAAGTAGTTCTCAGTATTAACTTGTATATTATAGTGAATATAGTTGTGACATTTCATAAGTTCAGCAGAGATTAGATTTGTAGATAGTTCTGATATATAGTATATATAATTGAATTCTATCAATCTTTCATTCACTGAGATGAATGCAGTGCTGATACTCTGAACCTTCAGAATGACCTTGTTAGTCACTTAAACTGTTAAATTATTGATTGCTATAAGTTCTGAAAATCATGATTTATCACTCACTATGTGGCATCTGGCATCACTATTTCATATAGTGAGAGAATTCTTGTGAGATTTCATGAAACAGGCTGATACATTGATAATCTCTATAAGATTTGTCATCTGATAGATCTCTGATTTGTGGTTCGGAAGAACGTATGACCGTCGGATAATAACGCGGCCGCTTCTGAACTTGCTTACGAATGTAAAGAGGTCATAGCAGCCACCAATTAATTTAGCATACAGTATATAAGAAGCCGGCGTATGCCTGTAATCATACACTGACTCAAGCAATCTTTGAATCACATCTGATAGCATGTCTAAAAACCAGTGAGAAGTGCAGACTTCTTCAGAGCATGATAATTTCATCTATAAAGTGATTCATAGTTATCATGTCAGTGTGATTCTAGAACATCTCAAAAGATAGCATATAAAGAGCAATGAGTAGAAGAGCATCTGATTGATACTACTTTACTTGTTAAGAGAACACTTCACACTCAGACAAATGCCATGTATATAAATGAATGAGATGTGAAAAAGAGAATGAGAGTGATGAACAGATTCAAAGAAGTTCACTCTCTATTTAAAAGAAGAATAAAAAGAAGAGATGATCATTATCAGAGTGATATAATGATAACAGAAATCATATAACAATATAATAATAGACATTGTATAATTAATGAGAAATCACTGAAATGAATATCTTCTCTAGTTAATATAAATAACACTCTTCTCTGCTATCTGAACTGGAAGATATGCAGAACCTCTCAGAGAGTTTACTTAAAGCAGTAAGAAAAGCAGCTGAAATCATTAAACCAGAATCAAAGCTCTGTATATATACAAGGATTCTAAACAAAATCAAGGCCTTGTATACACAGTGGCAGGCCAAGGCAGAAGCTAAATAACAATTGATATTCACTGCAGATCAAGCATTCACTATGAAGAGCTTCACTGACACAATCATCACCATCAATAAGAATAGAGAAAACCAGGTCTTAGACCTGCAGCAGAAGATTGAATGTTTACAGATGACTATGCTGAATCTGAAGATCTTATCACAATTATTCACAATCTCTTCAGAAGTGTACACATCATCAGAGACTGCTGTGCAGAATGGGAATCTGAACATGAAATATATCAAGTCAGAAGATATGTCAGAGTCATTAAGCTTCAATGATAACTGAAAAAATAATACTGTAATCAGCTGGCTAAGTCAGATGCAATCATATTATCAGATTGAACATAAACTTACAGACAGACAGTTAACAGAATTTCAATAAGTCTTAAGATCTGCTGTGTTTCTACACAGAAAAGTGAAGTTATTATAAATGACTGATGAAAAGATGAATTTTACAGACCTGGAACAATATTCATTCTCATAAACATAGAATGAGTTTTTCAAATGAATCTTGCACAACTTTGAGAAAGTGAATGTATAAGATAAGTGTTACAAACACTTCACTGAGTGTAGATAAGTGAGTGATCTTACATTATACTTCACACACTTCAGTTTATACTATCTTATATTGAATGAAGAGCTTTTAACATCTTTCTATTTACAGATCTTCATTCATGATCTTACATCTGAGTTGAGAGCAGAATGAAAATGCTTAATCTCACAGTCAGACACAGTGAAGAAAGTATACAATATTCTTGTAAGAGGTCTACACTAAATAGATCAGTATAATATTGATAGATCTTATATAACAAAGAGAAAAATGTTAGAGAAGAAAAGAAAGAGAAAGTGTGAGAATCAGCAATTAGAGTGAATATTTATACACATATGTGATAATGTACACAGTAAGGCTTCGGGGTGGAAGAATCTATACATGTTCATAACAGCTGAGAATCAGTGATTGAGAATGGCTGAGAATTGAAGCATACGCGTTCATGGCAGCTGAGGATCAGTGATTGAGAATGGCTGAGAATCAGAGTGTATGTGTTTAGACTGACCGTGTGACCGTGTCTGAGACCAGGATCAAATTTTTTGATAGTCTCATTACCAATTCGACTGATCTCATTACATGGTTTTAACATTAGATAGTAGTCTCATACTGTTCCAGTGAGACTTACTGTCTACTCTTGTCACATTTTCCAAATAAGACCATGATTTCCACTTCTCAATTTAAATTATTTTTATTGCTTTAAATGACTTTAAATCTTATTTGAGCATTATCAAAAAGTGTTACTTTTTAAAAAATTAAAAATAGTCTAAAGAAAACCTTAAAATGTCTAAAAATAGTAACTTTATGCCAAGAATGAGACTAAATGAGATCAAATGAGATCACTTTCTCATTTTTTTCAAGTCATGATTTCATTTTAAGATCTGATATATAGTCACTTTACATGTTTTTTTGATAGCCAGTCCCAGCGGGATTCACGCCAAGAAATGTATGAAACCAGACCAAATGAGATCAAATGTGAAATTCATGGTCCCGGCGGCCAGTCTATATGTGTTTGAGAATGAAGTGATTAAAATCTATGAAGTGTAACAGAATAGTCTATATGATTGATCAGATACAGCCTGCTACATTAGTCTCTCTCTTTCAGAAGCAGTTCTCATCAGTCAAGAACTGCTGTTTCAGATAATATGAAACTCAGAGTTCAGATCAGTTGATCATAACTGATCTATTTCACAAGATATTATCAGTTACAGCTGTGTGATCTCTTATCAAGAATATCTTCAATCTCTCACTTAAGCTTATTATCTTCTTCTATGATCTCTGGCAGTTGTCAGTCAGAAGTCAGTTGAGAAGAGAATGAGTCAGTGATAGCACAGCAGAGCAAGCTTGTGTGAAAGATATCATGAATTTCTGATAATATGTCAAGATAATAGTTGTGACTATCTAGAACTTCTATCACTTTATACCTGATATAACAGTAATCCAGTGTATAAGATGAATGTATGATTTGTATATTCTTAAGATTCAATTATATCAGATCTTCTATCTTATATTATTCAGTGAGGTCTCAGTAAACATTAATTCAATCTTCTTAATTCTGTTTAGTACTCATCATGAAGACTTCTACTCAATCAGTCAGACAAGGCGCTCCACCACGAACTCGCTCAATTTTTCGAATAAGAACCCGCCGATAGATCCATCGAAAAGCCCTTGATCATACGAGCATTTTGACCCCATCGCCGACCGCATACCCCGTGTGGTGGTGGAGTTATCCAGCCAAATGTGAACCAGATGTTGTTCGAAACTCCTGAGTGGGATTATCCCCCGTTCACCCCTACCACACCACAACCCCGGGCCAAATTGCCATACAAATTGTAAGGCAAAGAGACCTAGCCATATGCGCCAATCTTCTTGATTTTGGAAGATCCCTGACCTGTAATTGTGGAGATATCTGAGAAGCAACTTCCATGAAAACCCTGTCTATCTTTGATGTTCCAAAACATCAACGCCAAGTCCCACCCATGTACCGCCCTTCCCAATCTGGCCCACGTCCGGCAGAAAAATACAAAAAGATACCTCGGCAATAGTATCAAGCACATAATCAACAGACACATCTGAAACACATCCTCCGCGAAAAACCCTCTCTGTCTTTACACCAAGTCCCACCCTTGTACCGCACCTTCCAATCTGGCCCATCCCTGGCAGAAAAGTACAAAAAGATACCTCAGCAACTGTATTTAATACATAATCAGCAGACATAACAACTATAAAATCAGTATATTCCAAGGTCTGACTGAGCCTTTGATCCCTGCACAGTGAGATATATTAAATCTAGTTTTAATATCTCAATATTCAATAGATTCTGTAAGAGATTGAGAACAGCAACACTAGATTTCTATTAAATTTAAGAATTAACTCTATATTAATATAATCATTGACAAAGTCTTCTATTTTGAGATATAAATAACCAGTTCCTCTACATCTCACTGATAATATTTATATTATTATATAGAAACAGACTTATATTCTCTATAATATCAAGACTCTGAAGAGGGAAAGTCTTGATAGAGAGTATACAGTAGTGTATATCTTAGCAGTTTCTATCTCATTCTTCTGCAGCAGTTAATACAAAAAAAAAAAAGATCTTAGAAATAGTTTTTTACTTCTCTTGAAAAAGTAAGATATTTTTCTCTGAGTTTTATACAATATTCTTACAAAGAATTAAAAACAGAGCTGTTTTCTATCATAATTTCATATTCTTTTAAGTAAGAATTACTTTTTCAGTGACTGAAGAGCTTTTATTAATACTTAATTCTTTTTTACACTCTTTATTAACTGATTTGAGTTGCACACTTGTTGTGTGAGAAGAATTGAATGATTTAGAATAAAATTGAATAGTTTTAATCAATTTCTCTGCAAAAAATTGATTTATTTTTTATCAGTTTTTCTCTCAAAAACTGTCATATTATCTGATTTATTATCAATTGATATTATACTTTTTCTCACTGTATCTCAAGAAAGAGATTGTAAAGATTTTATTGATTTATCTCAAAAATCAATTTTAGTTTATTAGATTCTCTTCAAAAATCTAACCTAGTTACTGAACTAGTGTGAAAAAAATCAGATATTTTATATACAAAAGTCTTTTATTCTTCTTTTAAAACAGTCTAACCAACTTTTCAATTGAAAACAGACTTAGAAATCTCTTAATTAAAACAGTCTGACTAACTTTTCAAAAGAGTTCAATACATATCTCAATTGAAACAGTCTGATCAACTTTTCATTGAGTGAGAATAATGAGTTCAAAAATACACTCAGTTGATGTGGAAAAAGATGCTTTCTCAAATGCTATTTCTGAGATTGAAATTCTGAAGAGAAGAAAGAAAGAAGAAATAGAGAAACAACAAGTTCTTGAAATACAGAAACTTGAAAAAGTAAGCAAGATTCTTGAAAAGCAGTGTCTGAGTGAGATGAATGAAGAAGTTCTGTTAATTCTTCATACTCAGGCTAGACAACTACAGAAGATGATCAAGTTCAAACTTGGAATTTCAAACACAGTTCAAAAAATATTGAAAATTCCTAGTACAATCACTGACTTCTCATCTTACTCTTCTTTCTCTTTTTCTACTTCTTCTTCTTCTTTGAATCAGAAGAAAACATATGCTCAAGCAGCTGAATCTGCTATCTCTAAATCTGCTATCTCAAAATATGCTTAAAATCCTGAGAAAACTGAGAAGAATAATACTCATACTTCTATTCATAGAAAAGTGAAGAAAAAAATACAAAAGAAGAAAAACTTTCAAATCTTCAGAAATAGAAGACTTATTCTCAAAGTCTCAAATCAGAATATCTTACAAGAGAACAAGCTAAACTCAAATCTCATTTTCAGAATCAGAAATGAAATTAATCAGCAGTTCTTTTCTCAGTTAATGACTGATATTAAAGTTCAAAAATCAGTTATAGCTTCAATTGAGTCATTCTTCTTTGAAAACTCTATCATTCTAACTACAATGTCTGAATTCAGTGCAGAGTTCCTTATTCAGAATGAGAATCTCTGAAAATCAGCAGTAGAATCTTTATTAAACACAACAATTCTATCTGAGAGAGATGAAAAGTGAGACAAATTCATTCTTCATAATATTCCAGTTGAAATTTTTGACTGTGAAGAAGAAATGCTACTTCTCAAAAATGAATTAGAAGAATACAACTCTATTCAACTGAGAAAAGAGTCTGTATGACTAAATTCAATTGAGTTCAGACAAAGCAGAAGAAATGCCTCTGTTCTAGTATATACAAAGACACTTGAACAGTCAAAGATCTCTGAAGTAAGAGTAGCAGATTTGAAAATGAGAGTTAATGAATACAAAGACTCAAGAATGAATCTTAAAGCTCAAACACAGTGTTTAAACTGTCAAAGATATGAATACTTTGCAATCTCCTGTTTTAGAGACTCAAAATGTGTATTCTGTGCCAGAGATTACAAAACTAGTGAGTATAAATATGAAACATGCTTAAAAAGAGATGAAATATGTCAATACACTCTGCTTAAATGCTCTAATTGCAAAGAAAAACATGCATCTAGCTCAAAAGAATGTATATTTACTTCAAGAACTCAAAAGAACTGAAGAAAAGATGAAGCTCAAAGCAAATCTAGAACTGAAGAGAATAGTCAAGCCAGTAAACTCACAACTATAAGCTTAAAAAGAAGAAACTCTCAACTATCTAAATCTTCAAACTTCAATTCTCCAGCTAAATGTAAACAGAATTTGAATCCTCAAACT